TATATGTATATATATATTTTTTTTTTTTAATTTTGAGACAACATTTTCCTATGTAGTTCAGGCTGGCCTTGAACTCATTCTGTAGCTCAGGGTTGCCTCAAACTCACAGTGATCCTCCTGCCTCAGCCTCTCAAATGCTAGGATTACAGGCATGTGCCACTATGCCCAGCTATGTATCTGTAATACTTAGGATTATCATACTCCTAAAATGGATCCATAGTTACTGTTTTAACAGCGAGGTGTAGTCCGCAATATATTTCCAATAAACCCTCAGTAAAAATTTAAAACTTCTGTCTCTAACAACTTCCCTTTTCAAAAAGCGAAGGCCATTCAATTTGAGAGGCATTTCAGAGCTCTGGTTTGAAGCATTTGAAACATTTGTGGCAGGATGGAGTACCAGAGAGAAAATTTGATGAGTGCACAAAATTTTATTTGAGGGGCAATCTGCATAAAAATTAAGGTTTCATATGTAATGTCAAGCTTATCTAGAGAAAAAAAATGTCTCCCGTGGTCACAGGAATGGACAGGTAATTGGCTCTCTGATCCTTCCAATACCAAATGACTCATCTCTGAATGTACTCAGTGTAAAATAAGAGCTGAGCACTGCATATTTTTGTACTTTTAGTCATCACATGACCTAATTTCCATGGCATGAACCATCTGGCACATTTCAGGTGCTTTAGGCATTTTAAAGAAAGTTGTCACTTCCAATTGCTGGACATCCACGATCCCACTGGAGCGTCCCGGTCTCCCAGGACGAAAGGCATTCACTGCATCACCTCATTTCTGCTTTTGTCTTGAGCTGGGTTCCTTGCACTTTTTGGTCAGGCTGGGCTGCAGCAGCGCTGTGGGCTGGCTCTGCGTCGAGTTGCGGGCTGGCTCTCTGGCTGCCACCGTCCACATCCTGCCTCCTGCAGGCTCGGCTCTGCTCGCTTATTGGCCGGCACCACAGGAAGATGAACGCCACTACTTCTGTTTCCTTTTGATGCTGCTCTCACACCCAGGGTGGGAAATGTTTTCTCAGGAGCTGGCGCAGAAAATCAAGGGCTACCAGGAGCAGATCGCCTCTTTGAATTCCAAGTGCAAGATGCTGACAATGAAAGCCAAGCACGCCACCATGCTGCTGACGGTGACGGAGGTGCAGGGACTGGTGGAAGTAGCGGAGGACATGGACGGAGAGCTCCTCCCCACGCCAGCGGCCCACCCCTCTGTGGTCATGGTAAGTAAGGATCCCGCATCTCCCGCCAGCTTTGCTCCCTGGACTGGAGCCCCAGAAAGGCCCCGGAGCCCTCCCCAAGGCTTATTTCAGGGATTAGCTTTAGCTCTTGCGGGTTTGATCTTTAACTCCCCTAACTACGTTTGGGCCTGAGCCAGTCTGTAAACAGTGACAGTTAAAATGAAACTATTTGCATGAGACTGCTGAGTTACTTAACCTGCCCCAGATCTGCTCTGCAGTTGTTTATGATTTAGCAATAATACTGAGAGGCTCTGAGCTTTACCAAATAAGAAAAAAAAAGTTCTCTGCACAGTGCTTCTCTTTTCTGGAAAATGATAGACTTGTATTCTCCAAGCTAACTAGCTTCCTGTGTCATGTGCAGGTACAAGTGTTGTAGAAACGTATAATGGGATTCAAAATAAAAGCTATTAAGAGAAAGTCGAGAAAATAGAAAATTTATATTTTAGCTTTGGATATAAAATAAACAAACCCCATTAAGCTCTTCCACACTATTTTTCTCCTAATACTGTTGGTAGCTCTATTTTCCCTTCTCATGAGCTGTGCCTTCAGTACTGTGTAACCATAGCTGGGCCCGCTTAACTATGTGTTATATTGGCTGCCTTTATCTCTCTAGGATATTTGCAACTTGAGATGTCACCAGAGGTCAAGCTCTATTTGATAGACTCTTTCCTCATTTGTGTGATTTATATTTCTAGGTATTTGTAAAGATACACTCAATAAAACTAAGGAAGTGCCTTTTAATCAGCAGCAAAACTTGAACGTTTTGGCATGCACCCCTTCATTCATAATGGTTTCACAAGTGGTCCCTGGCATTGTGTTCACTGGATGGCAAAACTGTTAAATACTCACCCAGAATTAATATGTGAATTGGGGTCTCAGTCATTCTAACCTCTGTGGTACAATGTTTGTTTGACCCGGGCCTGGCCAGGCCTTTGATTAACATAGCTAACTGATTTTTATGTCTTTTGGGCTACATTTTCTGTGGCAGATGACTGCAGGTCGCTGTCACACTTTGCTGTCACCTGTCACTGAGGAGTCTGGGGAAGAGGGAACCAACAGTGAGATTTCCTCTCCACCTGCCTGTCGCTCCCCTTCACCTGTGGCTAATACAGAAGCTTCTGTTAACCAGGTACCTCTCACTTGGGACTCTTCTACCTGTAAGATCTGAGCAGATGCAGGATTCCATTCTCTGTCCTCTGGAGGCTGTGGGTGTGACATAGAGACTACATTGCATATGGTTCCAAGTGTTACAGTGTCATTAGGTGTTAGAACTGTACAAACATTGCTGTGTGAGACCACGGGCTCAGCCTGCCATCTCTTCTCCTGAGGTTTTGACAGTGACATGAGCAAAAATCAGGTTGTGGAGATTACAGCCAGAGAAGGTCTCTTATAAGGTAGTTTGGTTTTATTTCTAGTAATAATGTGAAATGGGGTCCTGCATCCTAAGGTCTCCGTCATTGTTGTAAAATAACATAGTTCAATGGCTATTTTAACATTCACAGAACATTCTGTTGTCATTCACCAGCTTAGATTTTGAATATGGGAAACTTATATTATATTGTACTTTTTTACTTATTAGTTGTGAACTAATTCAAGAGGTGTCTGCCAATATGTGTACTGGAATGTTTAGTAGATTTCAGTTTTCTTTCAATAGCCTTAAATTTTATTTCTCATTAAATGCAAATAATATTTTGCTATTAGATGCATTTTGGCATACATTATATGAAACATACATTGTACTAAGCTACATGTCAAACATTTGATAAGGAATATCGGACCAAAATCCAAAAGATGCTTTTACAAACCAAAACCTTTGATGTGTGCTGTTATAGTATGTTTTAAGCCAAAACAACAGCAAAGGCTTTAATCACAGTCCTATAAAATGATGTAAGTTTCAAAAGAATTGTTATTACGGAAGAACCATTACACAGAAAATATTTTATAAGCTGTACTATATAACAGTTATATTACTTTTATTTTAAAGTCGAACCCATCAAAACAGAAACTCTGTGAGAAAGACCATGTCCCAATAAAAGGGGGATATAAAATTGATGAAACCTTTAGATCGTCCACTTCTCTTGGTAAAAAGCTATATAGCTCCAGGGAAGTTTTCAGCTCATCCGTTCATCAAATATATTCAGAGTGCCTACTTGTCACAAAACCTTGCAGTGGGTCCAGGGAGGAACAGAGACCACTGGCCAGTGGCCCCGCCCACAAAGACCTCACCATCCAGAGAGAGAGGCTAACACTGGATAAACGGTAATGAAATTGATAAGAGGAAATGAAAAGGGACAACAACAACAAAAAGAAGAAGCTCAGGGTAGGGTTAAGTCACTGTTCTCCAAATTCTAATTTAGAAATATGTATTATTCATTCTTCGATAAGATGTTCTTCCCTGTGGGCGGAGATGTTATTAGAACTAGAGAATTAAGGCTATAGTCCACTGATTACTATACCGAAAAAATGGTTTTCCTGGTTAATGATTTTAAGATTTTATTTCCAAATTGAACCAAAACTACAGCTTTTGAGACTGACACTGGGTAAAATATACCTTTTTTGAAATTGTGATTTTCTTCTTGTAGGCCATTTTTTAGTGTATACATGAAGGTGTCCATTAAATGAAAAAGCATGCAGATATTTTTATTAGTAGTATTTGACACTGGCCATAAAGCTAACGATGTCCTAAAACCGAGGCCATTAGGCTTGGTGTTGACCCTGCTGTGACCTCTCCTCTCATGACAGGAAAACATGAATTAAATCAAATCATTAGTCTAATATACTGTTATGAGATGCTGCAGGGTAAGGGAAACTGAGATTAAGTCAGACTGCTCTACTTAGAGGAAGCTGTTTGAAAACCAGCATATTACATTCAACATTGCTCAAACAAATGAACCTCCTCATTATGGCCTCAGAAAGAGGACAATGGAACACTATGTCAATATGAGTCATCTCTTAAAACTAAGAACATTTAGAAACCCCTTAAGTTCCAGTTTTCAGATTCCAAGCCCTGTACAGAATATGCCAGGGGTGTCAAGGAACAGCCAAATATAACTACTGTATAACATCGCAGCTGTTGAAAGAGGTTTTGTGCTTGCTGCTTCTGTAAGTAGGTCTCATTACATAAGGGCTCGATCCCACTCCCAGCCTGTGTGTTCCATCTCTGACAGTAGCTACTAGTTAAAAGTAATAACAACTTAGCTCACGGGAGAAGAGAAACAGTGAGGCATCCCCAGAATGTGCTGCCAGCTTCCTGATTCCTTGGACACAAGCCAAGACAGGCTCCACAGAAGAATCGAGGGAAATATCCGCTCCCAAAGAGCAGTAGCGGGAGGGTGGATGGCTGCCCTGTAGATCAGAAACACCCCCTGGTCTCAGCTCTTCCTCTGAGCTGTGTCTCTGGGAAATCTCTTGACCCTTTCATGTGTAAGTGGGAAGCAATACTATTAAATTCACAAGATAAAAGCATGAAATGTGAAGTTAACCATGAAAACCTCTCCTAACTTGAAACAAAAGGTATTTCTAAGGGTGATGCTTCACTACCCCAGTACTGACTTCAGTAGCTATTTATAGTACAGATTGATTTATTTTATTGAATTTCTGTAGTCAGACTCAAGGTATTCATCTACTGTAGGTAATATATTTTCAAATTAGCTTAAGAAATTAGTTGTCAGTCCTGTCATGAGCCATATACATAGAGACAGAAAAAAAAAAGATATTTTGTAACAAATTTATTACATTCTAGCTCTTGGGGAACTTTATTTATAACAGAGTGTGTAATTTAAAATCTGTACAGTATGTAAAGGCATTTTTTCCTTTATTTGTGGCCAGTGGTAGTGTAGTTCCTCTGTATCCACAGAGCATAATCAAGACCCCTGGTGTGCCTGGAACCACAGATAATGCCTAACCCAATATGTTTTCTCCCATGTATAAAGTCATTTTGCAAATTAAGCACAGTATGATATTAATAACAATAATAATGTTATATAAAACATATGAATTGCTTATTTCTGGAATTTTTCCACTTACGTTTTTAGAGCATAATTGAAAATATAAATAGTTGAAAGTGCAGAGTGGGAAAACATAGGTAAGGCGGGGCTGCTGTATTTCTTTCCTTGTGTGTACATTTACAGAGTTTACAAAAGTGCTTTTTGGATTAAACCCAGAGCCTTTGCACTAAGCTACATCCCCAGCTCACCTTTAGTTTTTTATTGAGATAGGCACTTGCTGAGTTGCTAAGTTGACCAGGCTTGGCTTGAACCTGGGATCTTCCTCACTCAGAATTCCAGAGTGCTGGGATTGCAGACATGGGCTACCACACTGGCCCCCAAAGTATTTTTATATGTGTGGTTCATCATGAACACACATGCCTACCTGTTGCTTGCTCAACACACTGCAGTGTGTTCTTGATGAACAACAGGCGGTGTCACAGCATTTAAGGAGCTCACAGTTTGTGTGGGAGCAAACCGATGTTGGGATGAGTGTGGCAGGTGGCCTGATGGGGAAGCACAGCCATAGAGGAAGCACCCAAGCTAGGTGGGCTGTGAACACAGTCATCAGTGCTTCTTTCATGTGAAAGGAAAGCACAGTCAGGACACTGGAGTACACTAGAGTGTGAGCAGAAGTGACCCCTGTTGGAAAGCTACAAAGGCAAGAAGAAAAATGGCCCAGCAAGGCAACTGCAGGTAGTTTCAGTGTAACTACAAACATACAAATTTGGGACTTTTAAAGAGTGGAAGGCTGGTGGAATCACATCACAAGGGGCCTTGATAGTTAACCATGGAGGGCACTTAAATAACAGCTATGCCCAGAGCCGTTAGGACTGATCATTCTGAATCACCAGATACAGTAGGATGCTGGTGGACAAACTCAAAGCCAAGGAAGCCAGAGTTAGGGACAGAAACTGCACACTGTCGTGCCAGGTGCATCCAGGTGATATTGATGAGACAAACAGGACAGCAGGGACAGTGGTGATCTTCACAGCACCTGCTCCACACAGATGAGGTGGCCTCTGTTAAAGTTACTGTAGAGACATAGGACCCATGATCCTACACCTTCTGGTTTGCCAAAGAAGCCATGAATCTAGATTTTTATGAAAGTTCTCTGTCTTTAAGATGAATTTTTAAAACTTTAAAACAGTGTATAAGCCAAACTAAATGTATGCAGGCCCAAGGCAGCCTCCCAGCTTGCTGCCTTTGAGTTAGGAAGTTGTCGCTGTAATGAGAATTTCAGCCTAGGTGACAGGAAGGGTGTGTGTCTGAAGAGCTTCATCTTCACATAAATCAGGGAGGTGAGAGGGAACAGAAATCCAGAAGAAATTCTCATAGCTTAGATGAGTAGAAATTCCACTTTTTGAGAGGTGGAAAAGACTTATCATTTCTTCTCGAATCCATCGCTCATCCCATGTTCCTTTGGGGAATAGTGACTTTGAAGAGCCTGTGAGGTATATGTGAACAATTTAGTATGTGATCTGGAGTTAATAAATTTACCATTTATCTAAGAGTTAGTGGAAAAATGAACTACAAAAGAGGAAGAAAGCTGGAAAGATTAAAAGTGTTTCCAGCTGGGTGTGGTATTACACTCCTCTAATCCCCGCATTTGGGAGGCTAAAGGGGCAAAACTAAGATCACCGAGAGTTTAAAGCCAGGTGGGACTCCACAGTCAGTTCACATCCAACCAGCACTGCAAAGAAAGATGCTGTCTCAAAGGAGAAAAAAGAAAAGAAAAGAAAAGAAAGAAAGAACCAAATGACTGGGCATTTGGTGCATTGAACATTACAGAGAGGTCAAGCAAGACCACAGTTGAAAAAATGACCATTTTATTTAACAAAGATGTCACTGATGACTATATTAAAGCTATTGATATATGGTCACGGAAATCTGATGGGATGGAAATCTGACTGGGTACTTAGAGTGGACTGAGAGTGAGAAAGTGAACGTACTCATCTAAACCACTGTTCCCAGAAGCTGGCTTCAGAAGTGAGAGGGGGAAATGAGGATTAACCAGTGTGAGCAAATGAGTCCATGGGACATGGTCCGTCACACTGTGGTTCATGGAGTTTTCTAAGACATGATATGGTGAAAAAAATCAAAACGGAATAGTGCATCCAGTATTCTCAGATGAGAGAGAACTGACTACTTGTAAGCTAAAGAGAGAATTAACCGAGAAGGAGAGGATGTTAAGGAGACGGGGCCATGAAATTAATTTACCAGATTCTAGGAGAGGAGGGAGAGTCATCTTTAAGCAAGGAAACTGGCAAGCGTGAGATAAGGTCGTGTTGAGTAGAGACAGACTTGAGGTCATTATCTCGATGTCTTTGATTGTGGGTGTATGTGTATCACATGTGTGCACCCACTCTAGAAAGTGCATTTGGATTGTGTCATGGTTGGAGTTTTCTAAGTGGGTGAAGCTAAGGTTAAAGGGGCTAAGAAAACAAGGGTGTTGGCGAAGGAGGGGATTTAAGTAACTATAGACGTGACACCAAGTGCCCACGAGTGAGCCAACTCAGCGGAGGTGGTGTGCAGGGTGCAGGGGACTGCAGCAGGATGCGGATGAGTGACATTGGCTGGGGTGAGCCTTCTACAGGTTAAGAATGCCAGGGTGGTGCACTCAGTTCAAAGGAATGTGGAGGACCCATCCCCCAGGGGGCTGTGTCATCAGTGTTTTAGTGACTTCATCCGGAAGCCTCAGCAGCAAAAACAAAATGGGTAGAAGATGTCATGGTCACTCAGTTATTTCATTAGTCCTCAAACCACCCCCCACCCAGTGTCAGGACAATCTGCAAGATGAAAGTGAATTACTCTGACTACAAAGGCTCTTCGGAGAATTTCAGCTAGAGTCTCTGGTGTCCCAACTTCCAGCGTGAAACCCTGCTACCCAACCCTGCTTCAACTCATTTACAGATGCCCTCCCAGAAAGCCAGACACTTTCCTGCTATTATCTCCCTTTTCCATGTGACTGACACCGTCTTCAATATGTTTTACCAATTAAGGCTCAGGCATTTTTACTGACATAATTATCTTCACCAGTTCAACTGCAAGAGCCTTAAATTTTATAATGGCAGTTTACAGATGGTAAACATTGCTCTCCTGATGCAAGTCTTAGTGGGATACAGATAAATACAGAGAAGCTGTCAAAAAAAACACATCAATTATATGTTTCAATATGGTCAATTTTCTTATCAAATACTAATAAAATGTATGATGTTACTTATAAACCAAAAGGTAAAAAAAATCAAAATCATGAGTCTTCATCATCTACCTTGATAATTTCTTGTGCACATCCAGAAATCAAAGAGAAGGAAACCTTTTTGTTATTGTTTTCCCTTATTTAATATTACAGTGCTTACTTTATATGAATAATAAACCCATGAATAATGAAGATCTAGCTACATATTTAAAACTACTGTCTACAGATTTATAGTTTTTATGTGGAAGAGGGGATTATAAACCCAGAGTCTTTGTACTGAGCTGTAGTTTCAGTCCTCATCCATTTTGATACAGGCTCTCATTACATAGTTTTAATTTTTAAAAATCAAATACTTTAAAAATTATTCAGAGCCAGATGTGATTGTCCATATTTGTAATCCTAGCACTTGGGAGGCTAAGGCAGGGGGTTCTTGAGTTTGAAGCTATCCTGAGCTACATAGCAAGTTCAAGCCCAGCCTGGACTGTGTAGTGAGTCCCTCTCCCATTATTAAAAAAAAACAAAAAAGTAGTCAGAAATTTAATCAATACATTGAAGAACATTTTAGAAACCAGATCATTTACATTTTGGTTATAGGTACTAACCATTTTTACACACTAGTGTACCTCTTAAATCCTTTATGTTTCTTTTGTATAAAAATGAATGTTGGCAATTTGAAATACTGGTAAAATTATTTCATGGCTTCATATAAACCAAATATTTAGAGTGATTAGTTGTATTGTGTACCGATTGTTCTAAAGACCTTATCACAAGACTTTACTAACTTCCCTAGTTTGGAGCCTCCAGCAAAGGGTGTGCATACTAGACCTTTCCTCCATATGACAAATAGAACCTCAAGCACATTGGTCTAGACTTGGTCTTCTCCTTGGAGCCCAGCACTGTGCTTTCTCTTGCAGGACATTGCTTATTACCAATCCCTGTCTGCCGAGAGACTACAGACGGATGCTGCCAGGATCCGCCCCAGCACATCTGCATCCCAGGAGTTCTATGAGCCAGGGCTGGAGCCATCTGCTACTGCCAAACTGAGTGATCTGCAGCGTTCTTGGGAAACCTTAAAAAACGTGGTAAGCTCACCACGTACCTATTACCTTAGGTGTTACCTTATGAAACACAAGCAGAGAGTTACACATCCAGTACAGAGTTGAACACCCTTGGGTAAAGCAATGAAGAAAGAAATGTTGCAATCTGGAAGATAAGAAGTAGGAAACTATTAGTAAGATCCCTTTTCTTGTTTAGATCAGTGAAAAGCAGCGCACGCTCTATGAGGCTTTGGAACGCCAGCAGAGGTACCAGGACTCTCTCCAGTCCATCTCGACAAAAATGGAGGCCATTGAGATGAAGCTTAGTGAAAGCCTCAAGCCTGGTAGGAGTCCAGAAAGCCAGATGGCTGAACATCAGGTGAGCTGGTGATGACTTCTGCTTCCGGCATGGTTGCGTGGGTGTGTTGCTCTTGTGACTGCAGGGCCTGTCAAGCCTAAGTGCAGACCAGCAGGTCTTGCACAGTATGCAAGATTTCTGTGGTGCGGTGTCCACCACTGCTTCACAGATCCAAGAAGGCAAAAATCATCAAACCTGGACTCCAGTTTTACAATGCTGCATGCATTGATGTTGCTTTTGTATTTTCTGAAACAAAGTGCATTAGTTGCCAAGATTTTTTTTTTTTTTTTTGTCAGCCCTAGTTATAAGAATCAAATGTAACCCAAATCTACTCTCTCTGGGAAATAGCCAAGGTGTGCCCACCTCTCGTTATCAGTTAAGAGAGTAAACCTCTCACTTCAGTGGGCAAAGAAGCAGCTGGAAAAGAAGGACTTCCCAGTTCTAATCTGACTGTTCTCACTGCAGTCACTTTCTAAGAGGTTATATAAACCTAACTCAGACAGATGCTATTAAAAATACATCAATTTAAAATTCGTGCTAAGGAATGTGCATGTATTAAAATCTGGTTACTACTTTTAGCGTTATTTTTAGGTGTGCTATTGACACGCAGTGGTATTCGTGTGGCCTGTGGGGGGAGGCTGAGTGGGAGTACACATTCTCCTGCTGCAAACTCAGTGTGATATTCAGAAATGCTGCTGTCCCCTGACTGGGACCTTGGAGCGTGTGACAACCCTGTAAAAGGCAGAAGAAAGGAAAGGTATTTTTAGATATTAATGAAAAAGTATAAAAGCTCGGCGTGATAGATGCATCTATCAAAGGCAGAGATATTTATTAGCTTTAAAAGTGAAACCTGCACTTTGTCTTTCTGGTTTTGGAAGCCAGGGTAACCTAAGACTGCCTTGCTTATTCATATGTGCAGTTGGATATAACTGCATTCTTTTGCAATATGGGGCCTTACAGGATAACACACAGATGAGAATATTTCATCTAAAGACAGCATATTGAGAAATAGTGGTTTCATGTTTATGACCTTCTTGCAACTTCTTAAGATAAATATCAAGGTGCATAGCATCTGTCCTTCATCCTGATTATGATAAACCACCTTCTAAAGGCCTTTCTGCCATCTAACATCACACATAATCTACCAGGTTTGGGGAAGGTACAATAAAAGCACAAAATTAACCTTGCCTGCATGGGAACACATGCCTTTAATCCCAGCACTCTGGGAGGCTGAGGTGGGAAAAACATAAGTCTGAACATCTTGGTTAGTTTAGCAAGATCCTGTTTCAAAATTTAAATAAATAAATAAATAAACGAACCAAGGCTATAGCTCAGTGCCAAAACCCTGCATTCAGTCCCTAGTACTCAAAAAAACAAACAGACAAATAAACAAAAACTAACCCTTATTTTCATAAACCATGGCAGTCATGAGGGCACTTGGGGACTTGGGTGACTGTCACAAAGCTACTTACTTACCTTTGAGTTCCTCCTGTATTTTACTAGATCTCTACTCTTCCAAAACCCCTCTGCCTTCTAGACAGGCTTTTGTGTCGCACAATCCTCTTTAACTGATGCTCTGGTTTCTAATCACTGAAAGCCACTTCATCCTGATCCGAGGGGACTGTCCCTTTGCCAGAATGCCCGTGGCACTCCTTGCTCTCCTCAGTCTTCCTGTGCACCTCGAGGAGGGGCATTACAGCACCACAGGCCAACTTAGACTGACTGCTGCCCTGCAAGTGCCCACTTCCTTTATGCATCCAAAAAACTATGGTGTAAATTTTCTGCGGATTGTATCAGTTAACTTAAGGTTACACTGTCAGATTGTCAGGAGCCAGTAATGCACCAGGTTAAATTTTTAGCCCCCTATTTCTCTTCAGGTCGTCTCCACCTTTGTCCAAGGACGATCACCCTTGTGAGCCAGGAGACTGATCCCAGCTCCCACAGACCCTTCTTAGACTCCCAGGACAGTTAGGGCCTGCATGACCCCAGGATCCTGGTGGCCAGCACAGATATACCCCAGACTCCATAATTAAAATGCATATTAGCTCCCAATTAGCAGCTCCCTCTTTAGTCATTGGTCTAAAAAAGCTCACAAGCATACATAAGCAACAGAGAGCAAAATTATTATTTTGTTCGAAAGCTTTAATAAAGAAAAATCAAAATTGTACATTAATGCTACTAGTATAAATTAAAGGTGAAACTATAATGTTTTTTGAATTAAGGCCACTACATGACTTTTCGTCCCTTTCCAAGTTGGAAATGGCATTGCCAATTATCCTAGCAGCAAGAAGATGCAATTAATTAATTCAGTGATGATTACCAGACATTGGGGCTTAACAATTATATTAATGTTCTCATGAGAGGGAGAGAAAATATAAAGTATGCTTAATTCAGTATAATTTTGCATATCATCACAAATCTGAAATTTTTCATCCAAGTTATTTTTGGTAGTTTTCTCTGTCTGTGCACCTCAGTTCCACAAATTTCTGGGACAGAGCTGCTGACATGAAAGTAACTGGTGTCACAACAGCTGAAATTGTTCCCGACTGCTGGAATGGTACTTCAGAATTTCCAAGCACTATTACAGAATTGCTATTTCTAAACTTCAGCTGAGTGAGGAGAAGAAAGTCCAGTGCGTTTTTTATATTTAAAAAAATTAATAGAAATACTTTGGCCATTGTTTCTTCCCCAACCATCTCTTTGGAGCATTGCTTCCTGAGAGGACTACCCAATTCCTTCATTTTCCCTTTAAATACTTGCTTAGACCCATTAAATTTGGGTAGAGTTCCAGTCTTATCCTACTGTTCTCTCTACATGGTACCTTGGGTTTACTCTTAAGTCCTTCATGCAAAGCATTAGCTGACAGGGCCGGTGCTCTGTATGTGGAGCCCTTTCCGATCAGGGCTTTCATTACCACAGACGTCTGACGCCCGGGCAAGTGTGCTGTCCTTGACACACTAAATTTACTGACACAGTAGGCGGGGCCCTGAGGTTTTGTTTTGACTTTTTTCCCATAAGTCCTAGGGACTGAACCCAGGGCCTTCCCACTGAGCTACATCCCCAGCCCATTATTGTTGCTGTTTTTTTTGGGGGGGGTTGTTTTGTTTTTTAGGCAGGGTCTCACACTAAATTGTTAAATTGCCAAAGCTGGATTTGAACTCATGATCCTCCTGCATCAGCCTCCAGAGTGCTGGGATTACAGGCCTGACTATTTTGTTTTTCTAATGTGCATAACGACTCAAGTATGACAAGAACTCTATTCATGAGAGAGTCAAGATGAAATTACTGTTTATCATTGGTGTAGAACTAACAGATCCGTGTGTTTCCCTTACTACTAAAGAGCCAGGCATTTCAGAAAAGCACAAATATTTCTCTGTATTGACATTTAAAAATATTTTTTCTGGTATTGAGGGTTAAACTCAGTGCCTTTTCACTGAAGTATATCCCTAGTCCCCTCTTTGGTTTTAAATTTTTATTTTGAGACAGGTTCTTGCTGAGTTACCCAAGCTGGGCTCAGAATTGCTATCCTCCTGCCTCAGTTTCCCAGAGTACTAGGATTACAAGTGTGTGTCACCATGCCTGGGTTGAAATTTTGTTTTATTCACGTGCACTAATTGTACATTTTAGTGGGATTCAGTGTAATATTGGCTTACCGTGCATACAGCAAGCACGGATCAAATCCAGCCTTCCCTTTCTGCTCCCTCTCTTCCCGGTCCTTCCCAGGTCTTAGTAATCTCCAGGCTCTCCTCTGGATCGTAAGAATCACACTCATGCCCTCCTCGTCATCACATGCTGGAAAACCAAAGACGAGCAGTTTATCTCCTTCTCCTTAGTTTTGAATTGGATATCGTGGCAGACTCGCTGGTCACCAGCTCTTGTATTTAAAATCATGAGGCTGAAGACATATTTGACCCTTGGGTTTTTTTGTTTGTTTTGTTTTTAGTTAAAATGAAATTTGCATGACATAAAGTTAGTTTGAAATACATCATTCGGTAGCACTTGGAATATTCATAATGTCGTTGACCACTACCTCTGTCTGGTTTCGAACATTTTCATCTTTCCAGAGGAAAATGCCTGCCCCTTCAGCTGGGCTGCAGAGCCTCAGGCCTGAGCAGAGGCTGCCTCTGCCTGCAGAAGGACAGCAGCTCAGAGCCCAAGGCCCTGTTTCTTCTGCAGAACATGCAGAGTTTTCTCAGGACGTGAGAGTCCCAGCTGGAAACCAGGGACTTCATTATATATGTGATTGGCCAGATCCACAGAGGTTAAATGAAGAGGTGGCTTTTTTTTTTTCCTGGTGACTTCGTGATTCAGTTCTCAATTTTCTTCTATGAATTAGAGTTAATTCAGTTCAGCTAGATGTGCTGAGCATTTACTGTGTACACGGCCAAAAGACAAGCTTTTCAATAATAGGAGGTATAATCAAAACATGGTGACTGTTCAAATAAAAATTTTAAAAAATTACTATAGTAGAAGATGCATCTCTGTTAATCCCCTCAGAATATTCCCCCTGGCGCTGATCACATCATTCTTGCCACTTTACAGAGCAGTTCTGAATATCTCTTTCATGGCTGCCTTGATGTCCTGACTCAATTCAAAATCTTTACAGCAGTTTCTATCAAATAAAAACGTGAAAATATGTGCTCATCTGCCTTTTCGTCTGGTACCATGTGACTTCTGGCTCTTCACCAAAAGTCAAATGAGCATGAAAGGTAAATGGTTTGAATCAACTCAGGACATCGAGGCAGCCACAACAGAACAATTAAGGACACTCATAAGAGACTAGAGTGGCAGTAGACTAAATGAGATCCAGCCAGGACCTGGGGAGACAGTTTGGAAAGTCGGAATAATAGTGAGTGTGAGTAGGAAGCACTATAAATGTGAAAGTGTGTGGAAGACAGAGGGAACAGAGTGAGGATAAGCATTTGGTAAAGGCTCAAGGGGGCTCTTCTTGCTGTACAAAAGGATCAATTAAAACAAGTCATAATGAGGTCAATCTAATCATGAAGGAACCTTTAAAATTAGACAAAAATATGGATTTTGTACTTTTGCAGTCAAGAACCCAAAGCAATCAAAAATAGTAGAACATAAGTTGCTGGACTGAAAGTATTTTGAATGCATAATAAATTTAATAACTGTAAATCCCTACAAATTTAATGCAATATTATTTAATAATCTCACATGCAATCTTATTTAATAATCCCAGAACATTTGGGGGCAGAGACTGATAGGGAAACTCTCAATTATATTGCAAACATATGAAAATTATATAGCCTTTTGTCAAAAGGCAAGCCTTTTCTGCGAGGTGTGTTGGTGCATGACACTTGGGAGGCTGAGGCAGAAGAATTGAGAATCGAGAGTTCAAGGCCAGCCTGTAATACATAGCAAGACCATATCTCAAAAAGCCATAAGAAATAAAACTTTTTTTTGAATTAGGGAAACATAAGAGCAGATACTTGTACAAAATGAGAGTAGACATTTTCAAATAGACAGAACCACAAGAAACATAGTCACACAGCAATATCCTAAATATGTAAACAAAACATCAGTGAGAGAAGATGCTAACAGAATGGGCAAGAGACTAGCAAGCAATGACAAGAGATGATCAAAGGGCATATGAGAAAGTCCTTAGTCTAATACTCATCAGGCAATGGCATATCTCACTCGACTGAGATCCCTACTGTGATTGTAAAAGATTCACAAACCCGTGTTATACGATACAGTGATAAAAGTGAGAATCTGTACATGCAACAACGTAACCAACTTACAGTGTGGGTAGGGAGCAAAGGAAGCCAGACGCAAAACACCCCAGCCCATGTGATTCCCTTTACATAAAGCTGAAGTACAGGACAGGGTTATCTGTTTGTGAGTCAACCCAGTGTTGGGAAAGAGGACACGGCCACAGAGAGGAGGTCAAAGGGCCATGCTGAGTCCTGCCACGGTTCTGTTTCTTGATCTGGTTTGCAGCAACAGTTAATAGAGCCTCACATGGACAGTCTGTGAATGTTTCTGGATGCATGTGATTATGTCAGTGTAATCATCTATTAAAAATCGAGCTGGGGGAGAGCCGGGGATTTAGCTCAGTGGTTCTGCCACCTGCCTTGAGAGCACAAAGTCCTGAGTTCAATCCCCAGTACAAAAAAAAAAAAAAAAAAAAAAAAAAAAAAAAAAAAAAAAAAAAAAAAAAAAAAAAAAAAAATTCAAACTGGTGTTGGTATAGACCTGTAATCCCACTATAGTCCCAGCACTTGGGAGGTTGAAGCAGGAGGATCTCAAGTTCAAGGCCAGCCTGGGTTACGTACCAAGAACTTGTATCAAAAGAAGAAAAAGAAAATAAGTTGAGAGACAAGATATTAGAAAAAGCAAAGGTATTTTGTTGTTATTTGTTTTCAATATATGTTGAGAGTGTACTCTGGGGAGGCACTGTGCTCATAGTGAAAGCTGCATGTACAAGCTCATTGGAAACCATGAAACATTAACAAATTCAGACCCTAAGCTACATTGCTTGGTCATGGTAGTGTCTCTTACAGTCATGCCTGGTTTTCTAACATGCTATTCAAATCCTAAATAAAAATTTCTCTTGTGAATATTCCATGTAAAGATCAAGCCATAAAATAAGACAAATGAGAAGTAAAAACCATGTACAATCATTGTAGATGTTAAACAGGAAAACAGGGTGCTATTGGAAGAGAATGACACAGAGTTCCATAGATTGAAAAGCCTAAGAAGGTGTGAAGTTAGCCTCAGACTTAAGGATGGGAAGGAGTGCTCCAGTCTCAGGAACAGCATGTGCAATGTCCCTGAGGTCAGAAAGAGCTGGAGGCCCTGAGGTTAACCAAGAAGGCAGAAATGGAGTGAGAGGGCAGTGTGGTACAAGAGGCAGGAAGGATGAGACCATCTCAGTAAGTAAGGCATTTACATTTTATTTTACAAGCAGGAAGCCATTAAGTATTTTAAAGTGGGGGAGAGGGGTGTGTGAGAAGAGCTCACACATAGTTTGCTTCGTAAAACATGGTCTGGACAGAGAAGAGTGTAACAGGTAGACCCATCAGGAAACCATCACGGCTATTCAGACAAGAGAGGCAGTTGAGCTCGACGTGGGTGGGTGGAAGGAATGGAGACACTCAGTCTCCGCGCTAGTCTCAGAGCAGGTGAGGGGTGGGTTATGTCAGCTCAGAGGACAGGAAGGCAGGAAGGCTGACTCCTTTATTTTCCAGTTTGAGCAGCAGGGAGTAGTGGAGAAGATGGGGTGAAATAGGCTTTGCTCTCTCAAAGGACAAAACATTACAACAGGTTAACTGGAAGCTCTTACTGGGCTTTAGTTTAGATTCTAGAATTGGGCAACACTTCCCTGAAAATATCCCTGTTCAGATGGGCTGAACAAATGAGTTTGGTTTTACAGATGAGAGAAGGGCTGAAAAATAAAAGGCACAAATCATAACGAAAGACTGGTTATTTCGAATTTAACTTTCCTTATAAAGCTGAGGAGACAAAAGTAACTGGTTAACATCAAATTGTTTTTGTCATAATGAGTAGCAGGAAGTTCTTGCATGCAGGAAGGAAGCAGAGATAATTGTGTTACCATGATGACTGAAATCAGCCTGTTGGGGAAATTCGGCTGTTGTCACTCATCTGGTTTCTTAGAAGGCCAAGCAAATACCTTAGATTAGGGTTGGTGATGTGGAACTTGATTGTGGACCACCCATTTTGATTTAGGGTCTTTTCTCTCGGGATCACGGCAAAAGCCTAGTTCAAAATGATGGTCTGTTGTAGTTTTTAACCTAACGATACTTAGATTAGTGGAAACATCCATGAATTATACCAGCTGAATACACATAGGCTGAAATTTCAGGCAGATGCTTAGGTGAGGGACCCACCTGGCTTTGGAAGTGCTCAACGTGAGAACGCACTTGAAACCTTGGGATTAGACATTGCTGGCCAGAGATTGTGAAGGTAGAAAAGAGGGTCTGGATATCAGCCCTGAGAAACAGCTCGTTTTAGAGTTGGATAGATAGGGAGAAAAACGAACACAATGTCAGGATATAGAAACAGGTTACATTTCTCCTGTTTTATATAATGTGAGAGTGATGAATGGAGGGGTTTTGGAATGTGAACCCTGGGCTTTTATGCTTTGGTACATCCCAAGCCTCTATAATTGGGGGATACCACTAATTTGCTAGGTGTCCCAGATAGGATTGAACTTGTGATCCTCCTGCCTCATCCTCCCAGAGTACTAGGATTGCAGGCATGTGCCACCAACCCCAGCTGAAAATCATGAATTTTTTCAGCATAGAATCACCCTTGGACATTATTGAACATAAGTCCTTTGAATTATAGATGAGAAAGTGTCTTCCATTGGTGGCACCCTCAGTATTAAGATCAGAAATACCCTGGCCTTGTCTGGTATTTCGTTTTGAAGCTCAGGTGTGTAGCCCTGATTTCTGGTTATGTGACATCCACCTGAAAGGGCTTCCACTTGCCTCTGTGGATGTGAGGCATCCAGTGAGGAAAAGCATACATGAGCGTGATTCCACAGTCTTCCCTGCAGGCACTGATGGACGAGATTCTCATGGTCCAGGACGAAATCAATGCGCTGCAGGCCTCACTGGCGGAGGAGCTGGTGTCTGAGGCGCGGGAGTCAGACCCGGCTCAGCAGCTGGCCCTGCAGTCCACGCTCACTGTGCTGGCTGAACGCATGTCCACCATCCGGATGAAGGCCGCGGGCAAACGGCAGCTGCTGGAGGTAAGCAGGCACCTGCCCCTGCTCTCTCTTCCAAATGGGCTCCCAAGGGTGCGTGTGACTGGCGCCGTCCTCCCAGGAAGCCTGCACTGAGCAGAAGGCCCAAGGAGTAGAGCGCGAGTCACTGCGAAGCCCTGAATCTGTCCTTCCCTGCCTCAGGGAGAAGCTGAGGACTGGGGACAACGAACCTGGTGGAGAGGGGTTGTAGAAGATGTGCGCGGGAAGAGCTTTGGGTGGGTGATGTCACTAAGACTGTCGAGAATAAAATCCCATGGTAGCCAATCCCAACATGACAATTCATGAAAATGCACTGCAGTTCTGATTCTTATACTGCTTAATATAAATATGATTTGGTATAGAGACAAATTTTGCGAAGGATAATGTATATGTTTGAAAATCAGCTTTTAAAAAATATTATTACCATATAATTCTTAGTCCTAGGCACACAGATGATAGATGTTGGCGTTGTTGTTTCTGTAGTCTGGTAGGTTCCCTCTTAGGGCCTGTATCGAGCCTGAGTCCAGCGGCTTCTCTGGCACAACTGGTTCTCAGTGCATTTCTTACGATGTGAATTTGATATTTGTTTATCTGGTCCTTTCCCCTTAATTCTATTAACTATGGCCCTCTTGTTGGATCTACAGGATGCTTCTAAATTTACTTATTATAATATTAATCAGAGTCACTTTTTATGGAACTGGCATTGAACCCAGGGCCTTCACAACTGAGCTACACTGCTGGTCCATTTTAAATTTTTTAAATAATTTTTTTATTCATCCCTGTTTGCAGCACATAATTATTACATTTGTCTTGGGGAATTGGTACATGGACATAACACATCTGAATTCTTCTTTCCATCCTAGCTCTTTTTATTTTTATTTATTTTGAGCCAGGATCTTACTTACTTTCTTTCTTTATTTTCTTTTTTGGTGTTTTGAGACAGGGTCTCACTATGTAGCTGAGACTGACCTGGGACTCACTATGTAGCCCAGGCTGGTCTCGAACTCACAGCGATCCTGAGCCAGGATCTTTCTAAATTCCTAAATTGCCAAGGTTGGGCTTGAATTTGTGATCCTCCTGCCTCCACTTCTCACAGTGCTGGTGATGTGCACCGCCACACCCCACTTCAAGTCTTGTATTCATACATTTTATTCTGGATAAATTCAAAATCGATGGCTATTCTCCCTGCTAATCCCCATGTTAAACTATTTAATAAACATTATGATGTAAAAGTAATAATAATTATTACCGATAATATAGTTTTAAAAATTAAATATCTAGAGTACCTTAAGAGTTAACTTTCCAAATGATTCCTATTGTCCTTATCCTATGCAAACTTAGTGAGGCATCAAAATGAAGTATTGGTCTGACTTTTCTTAAGAACATGAATGATGTGCAAGAATTCGAAATACCCAGAGGTCTAATCTATAAGTTTGGATTTCTGCCTTTGCTTGAGTCACTGGGCCCTCTCCACAGGGACCTGTTGTGGTGACTGCTCTGCAGGTGGGCCGCACACTCTGCCATTCCCCATAGTCCCTGCTGTTTCCCAGATCATGAGGTCAAGTTTCTTTTGCCATTTGCCAGTTGGCTTATGACCTCTGTCATTTGTGTTACTGTCCAGTCCTGCAGATATATTATTTACTATGTTCAGCTCTAAGGCACATTAAAATCATTGGGGAAACTTTTGTGTGTGTGTTGGTACTAGAGGTGGATGGAACCCAAAGGTGTTCTACCACAGACCTATGTTCCCAGCCCTTTTTAGCTTTATTTTGAGACAATGTCCTGCTAAGTCGCCCCGTCTAGCCTAAAACCCACGATCTTCCTGCTTCAGCCTCTTGAGTGCTGGGATTACAGATGTGTGTCATGGCACCTGGCTGGGAAATCTCGACAATACTAGTCTTGAGATTCTGTCTCACCCCACCCCATTCTGATTTATTTTTCTGAGATGTAAGCCTAAACTTACATTTTCTGGGGATTTTGCTGCACACCTAGGCCTCTGAAACTGCTGCTCTATGCATTGAATCTTCAAGCTTTCACCTTCCAGTGATCTGTTACTTCTGCATATCTCCTTAGGAGAAACTAAACGATCAGCTGGAGGAGCAGAGGCATGAGCAGGCCCTGCAGAGGTATCGCTGTGAAGCCGATGAGCTGGACCACTGGCTCTTGAGTACCAAGGCTACCCTGGATGGCGCCCTTGGAGCACCCATGGAACCCATGGACATGGAGGCCCAGCTGGTGGACTGCCAGGTACAAAAAGGGCACATGCCAACCTCACACGCCCAGAGCAGACATGCTGGGGACTAGCTTTGGTATGGATATATGACTTTTCACAGCTATGAACTTTATACTCTTAGGGAACAGATAAACAATACATTATAAAAACCTTAATGAAACTCAAACTGGGACTTATTTTTTGAGGAAAAAAAAATGGCCTTCCAGCTGGACCAGGTGGAGCATTCCTGCAATCCCAGCACTCTGGGAGGCTGAGGCAGGAGGATCACAAGTTCAAGTCAAACCTGGGCAATTTGGAGACTTTGTGAGACCTTGACTCAAAACAACAATAATGACAGCAACAAAACCCAAAACAACAACACTTGAGGATGTAGTTCAGTGTAAAGGCCCTGAGTTCCATCCTCAGTTCTGCAAAAGAACTTACAGTATTTTTAAAGATTGTAAATATCCAAATCCTTATTGTCTAAAAAGAAATATAAACCTAATGAGAGGAGTTAGTGTCAGTGATTTAGACTGTGAATAAACCCAGCAGGAAGCATTCCCAGGTGCCCTGTCGCAGTTCCGGTTCTTACCCTGACATGGTATTTGGAAACTTCCATCTGTAGGTTTTAGACAGACTAAACATTGCCTTTGAAGCATAAAATTGGCTTGAGTGTTAGAAATTAACATGAGGAATGATTGTACTAAAGTCTTCATTCTTTTGTCTTGTGGTAGTAGGGATTGAACCCAGTGCCTTCACACAGAGCTACATTAGTATTTTTTGTCTGTTTGTTTAGTTTTGAGATAAGTTCTCCGTAAGTTGCTAAATTGCCAAGGCTGGGCTTGCACTTGTGATCCTCCTGTCTCAGCCTCCCAGAGTGTGGGGATTCTGGGCATGTGCCACCACATGCAGATCTGGCAGAGGCTGGTTCCCATGCGTGACTTCATCCTCGTTTGTGTCATCCTAGAATATGCTGGTGGAGATCGAGCAGAAGGTGGTGGCCTTATCCGAGCTGTCCCTCCACAATGAGAACCTGCTGCTGGAGGGCAAGGCGCACACAAAGGATGAGGCTGAGCAGCTGGCCGGGAAGCTGAGGACACTCAAGGGGAGCCTGCTGGAGCTGCAGAGAGCCCTGCGTGACCGGCAGCTGCACATCCAGGTGAGGGCAAGGCGCTCTTCACAGGCCTCCTCCGAGAGTGCGGCCCCTGAGGAAGGACGGGTGAGGGTGTTGCATACTTGTACACATTCCACTGTGCAGTGCTGACTTACACTCTGACTTGGGCATGCGTTTCCAGCTGTGTTTTGTGGGGGTTACTTAAATCCAGAGATCTGATGACTGTGCTACAGGAAAAGGAAAGAGGGAAAATGGTGACTCCCCAAATGTAAATGGAGGTAATAAATGAAGACATGCTATAACACATCCGTATTTCTTTTATGCATTCTACTCTTTAGATGTACTCAGACTTATATTCAGTGCCCACGACTTTAGAATTATCACATATTCAGGCTGGGGATGTCGCCCAGAGGTAGAGCCCTTGCCATGTCGCGCACGGGGCTCTGGGTTCCATCCTGTCCACCACACCCTCCAAAGAAGAACATTGAATTATCATGCACTCCAAGTGAATGGAACTTTTTCTGTCATGTAGGGACCTTAATATTCTTTAATAGTGATTTTCATGTTAGATAGAGCTTTTTCGAGCAATATTTATCTAACTTGTCTTTAACTTTCCTTTGTTTTAATTTTCCTTTGATTTGTGTCCTTGTGTTCTAGTTTTTTTTCCCCCTACAAATAAGAATTAGCTATAGTTCATTGGTTTTAAACATTTATTTAATCAGAGAATCTCTTTCTTTTAAAAGGCAAGTTTAATACCTTTAAATTCATTGTGCTTACAGATATGGTTGATCTTTCTTATTTTACCTTTTATTTTCTATTTTTGTCCTTCTCTTTTTCTTCTTTTTTGCTTTTGTTTTTTAAGAGATTGAGTGCTTTTTTTCTGTTCTTATCCTCCTCCTGGTTAGCAGCATACCTAATAAATTGTAAGTCAACCTCTTAATCTGTCTAGATGAATATACTATACTGCACCTTAGAATACTTTTACTCAGTTTCTCCCATGCACCTTGCATACTTTTGCATACTGTTCAGCTTTTTAATTCTATTTTAATAACTCTAAATTACTGGTGCAGCATTATAAGTTACTGGTACCATATTATGCAAAAATTAGGCAAATATTGAGAAACTACTATGTGGGAGCAACTATTCTAGATGATAAAATAGAGGAGCATAGAAAACACCTGTCTGTAGCTGTAAATATATATTTTCCTATTTTGGGAGGATTGGTTTTTGCAGGCAGGCATAAATAAAATTAGAAATGCATTATTGTATACAGAAATGGTAAGAACCGTAGGCGGCATGACAAGAGGCAGGAGGGCCAAGGAATCCAGGCAAAGTTCACAGTGAAGGAGCAAAAATGTGGGTGTGAGTTGAGTAAGTTCCCTACGAGAGGCCTAACAACTCCCAGGTGGGACCACAACTGTTCCGTACAGTCATTGTAGCTGGAGTGGCACCAGCAGGAGGACAGTGATCACAAATGAAGCCAGACCATAGTTCAGCCTGTCCAGGATGCTGTAATAAAAATACCACAATCTTAATAGCTTAGAAACAACAGAAACTTATCACTCACATTCTGGAATTTAGGAAATCCAAGATCTAGGTGCCAGTAACATCTCTCTCCCTCTTTCTCTCTCTCTCTCTCTCTCTCTCTCTCTCTCTCTCTCTCTCCCTCCCTCTCTCTCTCTCTCTCTCTCTCTCTCTCTCTCTCTCTCTCTCCCTCCCTCCCTCCCTCTCCCCTTCTCTCCCCTCCTCCATGTCTCCTCTGTGTCCTTACCTGTTGCAGAGGGCTAGCTGGCTTACTGGAGTCTCTTTTATAAGAGAACTAATTCTATCAGCATTCACCTCCCAAAGGTTTTACCTTGTAATATTATCACACTGGGGTTTAGGTGTCAAGGTATGAGTCAGGGAGGCATAAACCTTCAGACCACAAACATAGGTAGCAAGGGGCTTTGGGACTGGAGGACTTTGTGGGCATTGTGTGGACTTTGAGAAGTTATTGGAGTGCGTGGGAAAGAAGTGACAGGAGGACGAGCTTGGAACCAGGGAAAGAAACCCAGGAGAAACCCAGGAGCTGCGGGACCAGGGAAGAAGTCCAAGCACAGAGGTAGAGGCATTGAGAATGTATCAGATTCTGGAAAACTGACATGATGTCGACTTTTTGAGGTAGGGATGTGGGAGAGCCAAGGGCTAGTGAAGTGTACGGTTTGTCTGGGGCAGGTCAAGTGTGTGGTGCCTTTTAACTCTTAAGTGGCTATGGGAATGCAGGGAGAGACCCAGGCTGCAGACGTCCTGGAAGCTGCTGAAAGACTTAGAAGCTAGGACATAACTGCTGTGAGAAAACTTCATGGACATTGATTGTGGATGCTTTTATATTCTTGGTATAAGGGTAGTGCACAAGTATTTTTGCTAATTGTGTGATTCTTTGATCTGGAAAACCAAACCTAGTCAATTTAAAACAATTAGAAGCAATGGAAGAATTTGGGAAGATAACTGCTTTATCTAAAAAAAATTATCCAGCACCACAAAAATAGAGAATCTGCAACTTTCACTTATACAAATAAAACCCAACTTAGAGAAATAATATACAGTAATTTCCTGTGTATATCAATAAAATAGGCAAAAGAATCTTGCTGATATAGACTTTAAAGATTAAGAACCAAAATGAAAAAATGGAGGATATATTTTGTTTTTGGACTTGATAGCTGCCAATTCCTCATTTATTGACATTTCAGTTTAAATTATTCTCAACTAAAATACTACCTGTGAATTTTTGGAAAGTCATAAAATGATACCAAGTAATCAAGTCATAAGCTTACCTCCAAAAAATAAACATAAAAATAACCACAATTTAGGAAAACGAGGAATTAGGAGGGGTTATTAGCCTTATGTGTTAAAATTTAATATTATAAAACTAATTTGGCTGCAATGGTGCATCCCAGCTAGATAGGAGGCTGAGGCAGGAGGACTGCACAGCCAGGGCAATTTAGTAAGACCCTGTCTCAAAACAAAAAATAAAAAGGCTGGGGATGTAGATCAGTGTCAAGGCCTTGTATTCACACCCTGATACTGGAAAAAAAAAAAAGATTAACTAGTAGAAATGTGGATAATGTATATCAAAGTAAAACAGACATGAATGGCCAAGGAACTTGTGAAAAGACTTGCCAACTTTCTGCTGGATAAACAAATCCCATTGCAAACAAAATGCAAGTTTTTATTTTAAATTTACATACTTTCAAATGGACATGCAGAGGGGCATGGGGATGCACACCTGTAATCCCAGCACTGAGAAGGCTGAGGCAGAAGATTGCAAGTTCAAGTTCAAGTTCAAGGGCAGCCCAGGCAACCTACCAAGACCTTGATTCAATACAAAACAAAACAATACAATGTGACTTCTTAATAAAAATAAAAATGTTAAAAATCTTTAAATCAAACAAAACTAGAGAGATTTATAACTATAAAAGTACACCAAAAAACTCAATTTTGCAAAAGGTATTCCTGGTCTATCATATAGTACTTTTTTGTTTGTTTGTTTTTTGTTTTTTGATACAGGGTCTCACTATGTAGTTGAGACTGATCTGGAACTCACTATGTAGCCCTGGCTGGTCTCAAACTCACAGTGATCCTCCTGCCTAAGCCTCCCAAGTGCTGGGATTACAGGTGTGCGCCGCACCACCACCACCACCACCACCTCACCCGACTTGATTTTTTTTTTTTTTAATTTTCACTGGTTGTCTCTCATTGAACCTAATTTTTAAGGAAACTAAAACAAAGGGAAATGTTTACAGTTCCCTCATGCCCACTTCTCCAGAACTGGGGATTGAACCCAGGGCTTTTTTATGCCAAGAATTCACTCCACCACTGAGCAACAAGCCTAGCCCTAGCATACAGTTCTTAGTGCCGCTCCATCTGGGAAGTGGTATTAACTACTTCCTTGTTCTTTCTAACTGAATCAACTTGTGTATCAGTCAATAACCAAGCTGTTGTGTTTCTACATAAGAAGTACGCATTTTAAGGGCATGTAAAAATATCTCCAAAAAAGCTCTTGTAGGATGAATATCCTTCCTCATAAGCATAAGTCATTTTCCACAAATGATCATTTATCAAAGGAGCGGAGAGTTTGTCCTATGTAAATAATATAGTGCTCATGAAGAAACATTTTATTTAGTGTTTAGCATTTCTCAGTCCTCACAAATCTTCCAAAGAATGTTCCTGGCAAAAGTGGCCAATTCCTAGGATTTCCAAAATCAACAGCTTAGGTATCCCCACCCAGTGGGACCCTGGTGAGGAAGCCACCTTACTGTTATTCTCTAGAGAGAGAGAGCACACTTCTATGATAACACATAGAAAGTAATCTCTACACTTTCCTCTTATCAGTGCCTTCCCATCCCAGGGGGAGAGGAAAGGAAGTTAGAACCAGATTTGTAATCATTCTTTTCTTCCTGTGGTCCAAGTCTTAGGTTTCAAACTGACTAGTCAAAGAGAAATTCACTAAGTGAAGGTGGAACACAACCACATAGAAAACACGCACTAAACATCTGCTTTCTTCTCTGAACCTGTGACTCTATTAGTCAGGGAAGATCGCCTTCCTAGTGTGTAAGTCTTGGAATCTAAATGCCTGTGTGTGTGAAAGTGAGCAAGTTGTTCACAAGGGGCTGACATTGCCATTGTTATTTTTTTACAACCACAAGTATGGTGTGAGGAATTTGAAAGTAATGTTGTCAATCCAAGGATTGGAATGTGAGAAGGGCAAGCAGGTAGCAAGGCTTCGAGAATTTTCCAGGGGAATCTTCAGACTGGGCTCTGGAGGAAAAAAAAAAAGCCTTGATGGAGAGAACAGCAGACAGGAAATGCCTTGGGCCTCACAAAGGAAATTCAACAAGTCATGGCCGAGGCCTCTATTTTGTTAGCTGGAACAGCTCATGGACTCCTTAAAGTGTCATTCGCTGCCATCTCCGTCACTCTCTGCAGGTGCCACTTGACCTGCTATTTCCTCCTTGTCTGTAAAAGCCAGAATCTCTTACATCTTCTCTGGGAAGATGGCATCCTACTAGGCGGTAGACACTGCTAAGGTGCAGATGATCGTGGGCTTCCCTGTTGGATGGAGGCCCACCCATCCCACCCACCCAACTTCATGCAAATCACTGCTAATCTTTGAGAGATATGCCTTTGTGGGAGGAGAGGTTAGTGAACTAGGTGTGACCAGTCACCCATTCTGAACAAGACTCCAAAATACAAATACAGTAGCATGTTTTAGGCATATCTGTTACTCTACCTAAGCAAGCCACATTCCCTTGTTGGACAGCCGGAGGGAAGAGAAGGTAGAAAACACTTCTGACATAAGGTGAGATCCAAGCCCATGTGAGGGTACATGATATCATGTGTAGGTTTCACTGATTGCTTTGGTTCCTGTAGCTTCTTTGCGGAATACTTGGAGTCCTTAGAACACTGGCTGACACTTCATGTGTATGTATTGGACAAGTTGCATTAAAGTCATGCAATATATCCTTTGGCACATAAATATAGGCAGAAAGGTTCTCATTCAGAATTAACCCCACATCAAATATATTAGTCACTTTCCTATCTCTGGGACAAAATACTCAATATTCACAATTTATAGCTGGAGAGGTTTACTTGGCTCAAGTTTCTCATGGGTTCAGTCCAAATCAGTTGGGTGCGAGGTAGAAACAGGCGGTGGAAAGGCAGTGAAGGAAAGCTGTTCTCATCATGGTGGCCAGGAAGAGAGAGAAAAGGGAGGAGCTGGGGACGAGAGCACACCCTTCTGGGTCACACCTGCAGTGGCCCACCTCCTAACAGCACAGCCGGCTCTGAACTCAAGGGATTAATCCACTGGTGGGGATAGTGCCCCTCTGTTCCAGTCAGCTTCCAAACGCATGAGAATTTAAGGGGACAGTTTATGTCTAAACTGTAACAGTGGCTTTCGAGTTTTTGAAATGGTAGCCCATTATGCTAACATTTAAGTGATTTTTTTTTTCTTTTTTGACAGAGAGCATCTCGCTATGCAGTCTAGGCTGGCTTTGAACTCATGATCCTCCTGCTTAAGGCTCCCAAGGGAAGGGATAACAGTCACACACCATCACACCCAGCTTAATTCTTTTTTTATTATCCCATTTTTGCAAGGAGTCACTTAAAGATTTCCCATATTTGAGTAGACTCTGTATACACAAGACAGTCTGGAAACAGCTATATAACCAGCAGACAAGCTTCTAGACCTCATTCAGATCTTGGGCCTGCATGAGGGTAAACCTCAAAGACTCACTAAAGCCCAGTGCTGGGGCTGCTGGAGTACTTTGGGAGTTGAGTTTCTGCGGTTGACCACATCCTACAGCCCTGCAAACAAGAGTCCAAGGGTGCGGTGTGTGGATTCTGGGACAGAGGATGCTAATTCTCTGGCAAGCCCTTGATTGGGCCCTTTTCCTGTGTGAGACAGTGGATCTTCTTCCATAGGAAGTGAAGATCAAATTTAGGCTCCTCCTAAATTCTAGAGTGTACTGCCTACCTTACAGCACCAAGGATTTAGTGCTTTGCAGAGGCATTGAGATCTCCTTAGTTAGCAGCTCTTCAGAACCATCTTTGGGGAGCAAGTGCTTGCTCTGTGAATGTCCGGTCCCTGCTGTATGACCCAAGTAGAGTAGGAAGTGTAATGCTTTCACAGGTGATCGTTTCAGTAATGTTTTACCTTTGTGTGACTTATTTAAAAAAAAAAAAAGCAGACAACAGGATCTCACGTTACATTTTTTGTGGAAAAACTCTGTAATACCTGGTGACCACTTTAGAAATAGATGGATTTCCCCTTCAAATATTTCTGGGCATAATCATCTGTTTATTATTCTCAGTCTTGAAAACCGCCATAACTCAGGTCTTATGTTACCACCACTTTTAAAAATGTAGTTTCACATCCAGCTGGAGCTCATTTGGTATCATTATACAGACCACACCAAAAGAGTCTTCTCTCCACTTTGGCTAAGGTTTTCCTGTGGGCAATCTGACTCTTGGTTTCTGCCTCATTAAAAGCAGGAAACTGCACAAGAGAAGGAGAGAGACACTGACCTCGCGGCCGTGCAGAGCCCCGGCGTACAGGAATGGCTGGCTCAAACTCGCACCGCACGGACCCACCAGCGGCAGAGCAGTCTCCAGCAGCAAAAAGTAAGCTCTCTGGCCTGCAGATGTGCCCGGGAAGGAGTGAAATGGGTTGTGATGTCCTTTCTCAGTGCCCTTAATCTTGACTGCTGGAGCATCGGGTCTCTTCAAGTCCAGTCTTTTAAGAAAAGCTTACGTTTACGTTCACTAGTAGCATAATCCAGATACCTCACTCCTCTCATCACAGATACCTACTCTGCTTTCAGATTTGCCTTCAGTTGAGTCTATTTTATTATAATAAAATTTGAGCTGAGGATGTAGCTTAATAGTAAAGCACTAGCCTAGCATGCAAGGTTTAATCCCCAGCACCAATGAATAATCAATCGATAAAATATTGAAAAAGCCTTTAAGAATTGGGGAAAGCCTGAACCACAAGTGTTTTTTTTTTTTTCAAAGAAGTGCTACTTTTTTCTTTATGAAGTGAACACTCACACAGAATAGAATTGTAGGATGTTCCCCATTAAAACAAATAACACTTAATAATTATGTTTTTTTTCTTTGATATCTTAACTTCATATAAAAGACACATAAAAAGATCTTACTTTCCTGGATTGGGGATTTAGCTCAGTGGTTCTGGCTCTTGCCTCACAAGCGCAAGAACCTGAGTTTGAGTCCTGGTACCAAAAAAATAAAGTCTTATTTTCCTAAGGAGCAAAAACATGAAGAGGTACAAACAAATCAGTTGAAACTACAATTTATAAAGTAAGTGGAGAAGGATTATGGACAGCAGCTGCTTCCAAGGTTTTGTCTTGGCTGTACAATAATTTTGAAAAATTAGAGCACATTTTGTACCACTTGAGGGCACCATTGCCCAGCAAAATTTCCTTTTCCTGCTTTATTTTTTTTTTTCCCCAAATTTTTCAGATATCTTTATCTAAGCAAAAATAAACTAGAGGGTACTTTAGAGCCAACTTGAATATCTAAAGCACACCTTTTCTACAATGTACAATCGTAAAGCATACCAGCACAGTTTTCTGAGAATTTTCTAGATGTGAAACCATGATTATAGACAGCTATTGTAAAGTGACAAAGACCTTTGCGTATTTCCTTTACCTTGAGCAGGAATTAGAGCAAGAATTAGCTGAACAGAAGAGCCTCCTCCGGTCAGTAGCCAGTCGTGGAGAGGAAATTCTTTCCCAACATTCAGCTGCAGAAACATCCATCGGCCTTGGGTATGTTTCAGAACACCTGAACTTTATCTTGTTATGCTGCTTCCCTGGTATTTGAATAAACATTTAACTAAAATTTTTAAGTCATGCAGCTCGTGCAAAGTTTAGTCATTTGCTTTCACTTAGATGCTCCCTGTATCCGTGTGTTCCAACATCGCTAGCAACGGTAACTAAGTCATGTGCCCACCTTGTGGAGGAGTGCTCAGCGTGTCTGTCCAGGGAGGAGCCTCGGCAGGGCATTTTCTCAATCAGTTAGGAAGTGCTTTGTGGAATAGGATTCATGGTCTTGCTAACAGAATGATCACCTGTAACTGCAGAGCGTTTTCCCTTCAAGAGCTCATCTTCCCCTAACATCACTCTAAAAATAAGTGTGTGTGCCAGGTACATATCTCGGTGATTCTGTCCCTCTAATTTTAGCATGCAGTCATGGAGCTTAGAGTGTTGGTCCAGAGTGAAGACTGAACGTAACTCACACAGACATTTTGAAAGCAAAAATGAAGGAAGCTGGAAACTTCTCACATTGAAGATTTTGATTTGAAAGGTAGAAAGATAAAATAGAGAATAGTGGAAAAGCCCTGTATTTTATTCCTGTTCCACAGCTTTAGCTTGGAAAACTCACTCAGCTCTGTGCTCGCTCGCTTGTTTGTAGAGACAGAATAACAAGCAACTGCCGTGATGGCAAAAGTGTGAAAATTGTGACTATTAACTAAGAGGATATGTGGGAAAACCTTCTTTAAAAATATAAAACACTTGAAAAGTTTCAGCAAAGCCTCTGTGTTCATTCCATTGTGAAAGGCTATGATTTGGGGTTAGTTTGACTCTGTGTGCCATTTCTGAATGTTTTCCTTCAAAAGAAATAATGGAAAGAAAGGAATATGTATCCTGAAGATGATTTTTTAAATATTATTTATAATACCAAATAATTGAAAAGGCAGAAATGCTCAGTAGTCTAAAAACCTGAAGAAAGATTTTATGTGTACATAATCTTAATAAAAATTATATATAATGGGGCCGGGGGTTTAGCTCAGTGGTTCCATAGCCTGCCTCACAAGCACAAGGCCCTGAGTTCAATCCCCGGTACAAAAAAAAAAAAAAAAAAGATTATATATAATGCATAAGAAAATGTGTATATAAAACCAAATAAAAATGTGAAATAAAAGTATAGTATATGTATGGCAAGAATGAAAATATACATAGATAATCAGACTAACTTTGCAGAGGAAAGAGGTGGAAGTTTTTAAATGATTTTGTACACATTCATCACCAGTGACATAATGTTGCTGATATGACATTTGTGCCAGTCACATAGAAAGAAGGAGATGCACGCCTGTAATCCCAGCACTTCGGAGGCTGAGGCAGGAGGATCGCTGTGGGTTCAAGACCAGCCTGGACTACATAGTGAGTTCCAGGTCAGTCTCAACTACATAGTGAGACCTGTCTCAAAAAAAACAAAACAAAACAAAACAAAAAAAACAAATAGAAGGAGAGATTGTAGAATATGAATATCAAATAATCCCCTGGTTTTATGTAAAATGCTCTATGTAAACATCCATGAATTAAAAGTCATACATATATGCATATAAATATATATACACATGAGTTTCAAGGGCAGTATAGTGACAAAATATATAAATAGCAAGATGCCATAAAAGAAAAGAAAAACTGTAAAAATATTGGCATGCTATACATCACTTTAAAATAATATGAATGAAAATAATCATGATATCTGTAATCATAAATTGCATTTAAATAACCCTAAAACTATAAAGCTGGTGTTAAAAACATCTCAGAGTTTTAAAACATCTCTTTGGTCCATCACGCTTAAAAATGCTAATAAAGCTTAAATATGTATCCACGGTGAACCCAAAATGGGGCGCTCTGTTCATTCCTTCTGTGTTGGTTGGGTTGAGCATTGCCCTTACTCTGCATTTTCTGTTTCCAGCTCCTCTAAGATGTTTACTCTGCCCTCAGCTGTCTGTGTCATTTTCCTCTAGTCTTTCTATGGAGAGCCGGTCACACACAGCCTCCTTATCATACAACTAAGCCTCAAAAGGGAGCACTTGGGAGCTTCTGCAGCTCTCTTGCCATGATTTCTTTTTTCTTTCCTTAGCCTTCACTTTTGGAAAGAACCCAGATGGCAGACAAACAACTTTAAATTGCTTTTGCAAACATGAAATATGAAAATATTTGAAAAGGACATTTTCAGTGCAATACTGGCTTTCTGTACAAGATCGGCTTTAAAGATGGCTTTAATAAGTTTTTTAATGTTTATACAAATTCTTGAGAAAAATTACCTTTTGTTGTAGTTTGTTCCAGTTCACCCCCTTTTTTGAAGCCTCTGGGTACCAAGCAAATAAATAACCATGAATTAAGTGATATCTATCTGGATGCCAAAGAGAAAAAAATACATCTTTTATAGTTTCCCTGGTGTGAATAATCTGCAACAATGCATAAGATTCTAATAAGATTACTGACATTTAGAAATGGGAAGAAAGGAGCTAAAGGTGTAGGGAAGGTGGGATGGGTAGGGGAAGAGTAAAAAGGGAAAAGAAAAAAATGTGAGAGAATGAAAAGATGAAAATAAAGTGTATGTAGATGGGGAGGGGAGGAGGGGGTGAAGGGAGGGCAGAGGTAAGGGGAAAATATGAGAATCAAGACTTGTCATGTAGAGGTACAAGATCCCAACAATGAATGTAACTGTACTGTATCCCTAAAATGTACCAATAAACTCAATTAAAGCTGGAAAAAAAATAGCATTGCTAGGAGAAAAAAAAAAAACCTTGTATTCAGCCTTTGATTCATTAGCTGATTTCCCAAGATTATCAAATGTTAATTGGTTTGTGTAAGAAAATCCCTGTGAAAAGGATTTAACCTCTTTCAGATATTTATAAATGTACACAAATTTACTTTATACCAAATAAATACCTGTATGACAGATCAAGGGTGGATGGAGGGCCTTAGTTACTAAGGAAAACCAACTGGAAATTCATTAATGTAAATTGGAAAGGAAAGAATATTGTCCAGTGGTAATGCAAGGCTGCATTCTAATTTTAGACTAATTTTTGCTTCTTTTATATTAAATATAATATATAGATATTCAATACTCCCTGGTTTTTAGAACCAATTTTATATGGACCTAATGAATTCGCATGGTACAATACATTCACAATAGAAAATATGGTAGAGAATAGAATACAGAAGGAAGTACAATAAAGAATTTTAATTTCATAGGCACTTTTAAACTTTTTCTCAATTTAAAAAGACCTTAAAAAGAAAAGAAAAGCACTGAGACTGATATAACAAATACTCATTTAGAGTATTAATTCTGTTTTGTCATTTTTTCACTCAACATTATTATTATGACTTTTTATCAACCCATGCCAATCACTACAGACATAGTTCTTCATTTTAATTGGTTGATGTATATTATCTTGTGAACATACAATTTCCTTCCTTCCTTCCTTCCTTCCTTCTTTCCTTCCTATTACAAATATTGTTGAAAGTAATCTTACATTGTCTCTAAGAGATGGGAGCTATTCCCTAAATTATATCCTGTAGTAGAATCCTGGCACCTTAGGCCTATTAAAATATTAAGGCTTATTTCAAAAGTCTCATCAAGAGACAGTATTGCATATACATATATTGTGGGAAGACTTGGCTTTGGGGTACTGCACAGCATTATCCTGCCAATGAATTTGTCCTTTTTGTTTTTTTTCCTCTTGAGCTAATGGGCCTGTGTTAGTCAACTTTCTGCCACTATGACAAAATAACTGAGATAAAGCACTTAAAAGAAGGAAGTGCTTATTTTGCTTTCCTAAGCTTTCGTTCATGGTCACCTGGGCTCATCGCTGCGGACCTGTGGCAAGGCAGAACATCCTGGCAGGGAGTGCATGGTGAAACAAAGCTGCTTGCTTTTTGGAGCCATGGAAGCAAGCGAAGGGGAGGCAGGACACCGAGCACTCAGCGACCTCACTTCCTCCCACTTGGAGACACCTTTTAAAGGCTCCACCACTTCCTAATAGTCCCACAGGCTGGTGGCTAAGCCTTCAAATCATGGCCTTGGGGAAATATAACAAGTACTGTGTCAAATTTTAATATGTCATATACCTTTCAGATGACATAGTTTTAGGGAGGGTCTCAAAACTGCTGACACACTAAAATTTCTCTCTCTCTCTCTCTCTCTCTCTCTCTCTCTCTCGGCACTGGGGATCAAATTCATGACCTCACACTTGTGAGGCAGAGACACGGTGCTACTGATCTAAATCCCCAGCCCCAGTCTGCTTTCAAATTCTAAATTTTTCAATTATTTTTATTTAATATTGAGTTGTTATAAACTTATTTTTACCTATTCCTTCTGCTCATGGTTCATTTATAATATGGTAAGAACATACTTATTTTATAGCCTCAAATTTTAGATTTTAATTCATATTTTAAAAGTGTAAGATAATGACTAAAAATAATCTTGGTCGAGGTTTGGAGGCCAGGTCTAGTATGCACAATAAGTTATCAACCTCACTGCCTGTATACATATTGTAAGCTTAGAATATTGCTTTTTTTAATAGTGAGAAGCCTGACGTGTTATCCCAGGAGTTGGGAATAGAAGTGGAGAAATCATGTGCTGAAGACCAGATGAGAATGAAATGGGAAAGCCTACATCAAGAATTTAGTACCAAGCAGAAACTGCTACAGAATGCTCTGGAACAAGAACAAGAGCAAGTGGTATCAAAAATTTTGTTTTTATATATTAACTAATATAAGAGATACATAATTTATGCCAATAAAATATAACTGTGCAATAATCTATATTTTCATTATCACTGCCATATTGACGAAAATTACTCATCATGTACTCTTCTTAAAAGAGTATTATTTCCCATAATAATAACATATCCTATGTCAAATTTTCAGTTCTAGATAATATTTTTCCTCAAAGGTGATTACAACCTTATTCATAAGAAGCATAAACTATTAAATTTTTAAATTTTTGTTTCAACACTGAAAATGAGGGAAACATATCAAGGATATGCACATGTACAGTGAAAGGAATTTCACAAATTTGGAACTGCATTGTCAGGTTATCTTACTTTCCATTGCTACTTGCAATATTTAATACTTTCAGAAGATCTTAATGAGAAGCATATCGAGCCCTTTGAAAAGAAGGAAAGCCAGTGTTCAGTGAATATGGATACTGACCCATCGGTAAGGTTGGTTCTTGGGTCAGATAACTGTGATTTGGGGCTCAATTCTACCAGCCATGCCAAATCTAGAGGACCTGAATGTGGCAATGGAAGGTTCTAGGTAAATAATTTTATTAGTTCACTCTAAGCAAGCTGGGGAACCAAGGAAATCAGAGGAATCTGAGCATTCATTCAGAGGGCTGATGAGAGAGCCACGGACCCAAGTGGGCCTGGGATGCCCACCATGGCTGTGGTTCAGAAGGTTCTGAAATAAAAACCAAGGCCCCATCCTAGTCCAGCAATGTCTACCTAGGCTCATTCCAGGGCAGTGTTTTTTGCACTGGGATGGTTGATCTGAGGAAGAAGCTCTTCTTACTTCTCTAGCCAGCTCTGGCTTATGAATTCAGGGAGACTAACCCTGAAATGAAGGGCATCAATAGCTGTGTGACAGCTGCAGCAGGGTAGGAGGGGGCTGTCAAAGCCATCAGTGTAAAGGGACACAACTTGCCAGGACTAACTGAAAGGAGGTGGTGAAAGGGCCACATCGGGTCCCTTTGTGCGCTGGGTCTCTTGACTCTCCACAGGTATGCATTTCTATCCCATTTTATAAAACCATACAAATGCCATGCCCCTACCCACACCCCTGTGGGCCAGTGAGTCTGCAGGAACAGGTACCAGCTCTGGTCTCTAGGGAATTTAAAACACTATTCCTGAGGGCAGTTGTCCCAGAGTCCTGGTTCACCCTGACCAGTGAGGCCCTGTATCTTTTGTACGGACCAACTACCTGTCTTTGTATAAATCACCCCTGATCAAATGTTTTTCATGTGCATGGCCTTGAATTCTTCATTTCTGTTGCAGATATCCTGGACTTGATCTCAAGGTCATCTTCATATATTTTTCCATTCTTTTGATTAGAAGGGTCAGATATAATCCTCACTCAGAGGATTACAGTCTTTTCTGTGGGTCCTAAGACATGAATCCAGGACTTTTCTGGTATTTGTGCTTACTTATTTCACATCTACTTATTATTGTCCATCCATCAGACAGATACCCAACCCAAGGACCCCAGCTCATAGCACCTACATATTTATCTCCTATCAGAGACTTCACCCATTAACCGCTCTTCTCCTGGGGAATTGAGTTTAGATCATGTTCCTGACACACTTGCATTTCTGATTATAAATGGAAAGCAGCAGATATCCTTCTTTATGTCACTTTTTTCGTTTGAACACTTAACAGGAGTCTCTGGTCATTTGCACAGAGTGCCTCCAAGGTGCATTTCCTTTGGTGTGAAAGTGAGGGAAAGATAGAGAAGAAGCAAGTGATCGTCACAGTTTCCAAGAGGAAAAGAGAGATTATTTAGTGAACACATTTTTAGTCTAGATGTTAATGTATCAATGCTGTGACAAGGTCACCTTTCTTTCCACATTGCACACCTATGAACTGAGGCTTGGAGTGGTTAACTTCGTAGGGCTTTGTAAGTACAGACAGAGCTGGAACTGAGATGCAGATGTGCCTCATTCCAAAGTTCCTTCTTTTCATACTTGCTAATTAGCAATTTGTACACTGAATATATTTGCTCCTCTCAAATGTCAGAACAGACACAAGGTGAGGGTGGAGGGGAGCTCACCTATAACCCAACCTACGAAATATTTCACACATTTCTTTAAAATTAAGCATCTAATGTGATCCATAAACAGAAAGCCAAAGGAAACAGATTTAAAAAAACAAATCATGGAAAGTTACTCTTGCAGGTGTGGAGCACTAAGGTACAAGCTTTTAAAAAGGTGCTGGGTGGTCAGCACTCCAGCTGTACTAGGGAATGGGCTGCCATGGACCCAGGATGATGGGTAACAGTCTGAAAGACAAGAATGAGGTGCTTTTAAAACTCAGAGGAGAAAATTGGAAACTCTCACAATGTAAGTGGCAGACCACATCTTGGTCCTTATGGCGAGGCATTCTCTATGCTTAAAAGAGCTGGGAGAGCAGTGCAAACAAGGCATTCTCGGTCTGGTATTTAGGAAGGGTTATTTCCCTAGAGGCATTGCTAAGACTGAGAAAACAAGTTGGAAGGGAGGCTATGATAAATTTCAGGCATTTTTTTTCCCACCACTCCTATTTTAAAAATCCATTAGCAGAAACATTTCCATTGATGAATCTGGCCACCATGTGCAGTGATAAGATATGTTGTAGAAGTCATGTTTCTCTAGACGAGGTTTTCCTAAGGCCATTTTGCCCAGCACCAGTCATGGTGTGCACTTCCACATGCTGAATGTGATATACAGTACGCTTTTCAATAAACTGCCCCATTTGCCTGCAGCTCTACAGTAGACCAGGCCGACTCCTGTCTGGTGTGCCACTGTACAAAGGTGAAGGACAGACACAGGATAAATCCGCAGTGGCATCATTGCTGGATGGACTGAACCAGGCCTTCGAAGAGGTTTCGTCCCAGGTAGAGTTGTAGGGCTGTAGTGTGCATGTGACTGATTCATCTTGTCTTTCTGTGCTGGTTTTCACAGTCTTGCATGAATGTCAAAAGATGATGGTAATAATGAGCTCTGGAATAAAAAAATGCCCTTGTCCGTGGTGTCTCGGCCTAGTATATTTTTATTCCTCAAAACGCTATAATTTATTCTTCATCCTTTTGTATGTGCATTTATTTTGCAGGGTGTAGGGGCAAAGACTCAGAATATACACTTGGAACAAAAGTTATATGATGGAGTCTCAGCTACCTCCACTTGGTTAGATGATGTTGAAGAGCATTTATTTGTTGCCACAGCACTTTTACCAGAAGAAACAGAAACTTGTCTCTTCAACCAAGAGGTAAGTTTGGCAGTTTCTGTCTATGAGTGAAGATTCAAAGGACTCGAAGTTTGGATATTGGCTACATAATTTTATATACCAAAAATATCAAGAATAAAACAGATCTATATAAAGTATAAAGGTATATTTCTAGGTGGTATAGCATAAAATGAAATTACTTAAATACAAAAAGTTTTCAAAGGTATTTGTGCTTTGCACTATAATTTCTTATCTTGTATATGTAAGAGAAGGGAAAAATGGAGAGTGCTGTAGATGACTATTGTATACCGCAGATTCTCCATGTGTGAAATATAGGTTTTAAAACAAGTACTGAATTTCTAAATAGCACATGACACAACTCATTTTTGATCAGTGTATATTATTAGCTTTGGGTGTAAAGTTCCTGAGAAAAATCTCTTCCAGACCAATTTCCCTAAAATGTGTAGATGTACGTGAAATAGAGTCAACCTTCTTAAGTGTGGTTATTACTAAGCAGTGAGTTGTAATGGACTCTCTATGAGGAAATGACTCGATTTACATGTTGAGTCATGGATCTAAACATGGAAATGAAACTTCTCTTTTATTGATTCTAGGCACTTGCCAAAGACATTAAGGAGATGTCTGAAGAAATGGATAAGAACAAGAACTTGTTTTCCCAAACTTTTCCAGAGAATGGTGATAACCGAGATGTTATTGAAGACACTTTGGGTTGTCTTGTGGGCAGATTATCCTTGCTGGACTCTGTAGTAGACCAACGGTGTCATCAGATGAAAGAAAGACTCCAGCAAATACTAAGTTTCCAGGTAAAGAAGACAGTTTCAAAGGATTTTTGACCATTGTTGAGGTACAGTCAGTAATAATTGATAGGGTAACTGATTGAGGTATGTTATAAACCTTGTCCACCCCAGATGTACAGTGAAAGACAAGAGCATTGCAGAAAATCAGGCAGCTTGAACTAAAGGCTTAGAAAATCACAAGATTCATGTTTCTAGAAATGGGAGGTATAGAAACCCACTCGGTCAAACTAAGGGTTGAATAAAACTTTAAATTTAACCAGTAGAAGTCACATTTATGGTTTATTATAAAAATAATTTCCAGTTGTTAGTAGTGGAGTTTAACACATATTACCACAGAACATTCAGAAAGTGCTGGAAAGCACATAGAAAGTATCCCAGAATTCAGTGTCCAACAGTTGTTGAAAGTGGCTGTGGTCTAATTTCTTCTCCCTTAGGATTTCTTGCATTACTTTCAAATCCTAGCTCCTCATACTTTCTACATTTTAGCCTCATGTTAGAATTCCATTGCCATATAATACTTCTGTGCTTATGAAATGTTTTATATGACTGTACACAGAAACAGATGCAAAAGCTACTTATAAATTCTTTTAATGTTTACTTTCATTCCTAACAAAACACACCTTTGGGAAATGCTTATGTTTAATTGAATCCATGGGAGAATTAAAAATTATACATACAAGTGTAATTCCTGTTAAGAGTTTGATAAATTTTTATTTGAATAAAACTATTCAGTATCAAATAAATGAAGCATTTACCATGTAACATTTTTTGCATATCCATTTGGAGGGGCAAATTGCCACTAACTTCCAGTAGTCTACATATTTAAGACTATATCATAAAATTATGAAAACATTTTTATTTTATTTTTTATTCACAAAACATTTCAGATGAATTATTGTCTTTAATCTTCACAAAATCCTTACTCATTAAACATTATTCTAATTTTACAAAGTCAGAAGAGCAAAAATTAAGAACATGCTCTCTGAAGCCATCACTCTAGATTAGACTCAAATACTGGCTTTGTCACTTACTGCTATATAATCTTAGCTCCTTAATTTCTCTGAGCCTTGGTAATCTTCAAATATTCAGTCACACCTGTAGTAATTACCTCATAATAATTTTGTTATTATTGTTATTATTAACAGTAGTATTATAACAGATAGGGGATCTGAAACCAACAGCAGGATTAAATTACTTCACACATATTCTGCTATTAAGAACGAGGGCAGGATTTGATTCCAAGAATTCTGAATTTTGCAGTATCACAGTAATAGCAGAGGAAATGAGACTAAACCTATATCAGATGAACTGTGAGGGCAGAGAGAGTAGGAAAACACTGCTGATGGTTTGGATGTGATGCACAAAAGATGGAGGGGCTTCTGGGAATCCAGACGTAATAGCTAAAACTTGGAAACAGCCCAGTTGCCCATCAACTGGAGACTGGATAAAGAAGATGTGTTTTTTAATAAAATAGAATATTACTCATCCATAAAGAATGAGAAACTAGAGAGATTTATAGTTAAGTGGATGCACACTGAAGCCATACTCTTAATAAATTGAAATTAATAAGTTACACATGTTTAAATACTGAACAGTTTCTCATGGTGTGAAAAGGAAAAGTGTAAATAAGGATGAAAATGTATAAATGATATTATATAATAGGAAGAAAAGTCTAAAAGAGTAGAGGAAGTAGGAAGGGTAGGAAAAAGGGAAAAGAAAAAAATATGAGAAAAGAAAAATCATGGAAACAATGTCTTTGTAAAGAGGGAAGGGTGGAGGGGCTGAGGGCTGGGGAATAGAGAAAAAATAAGAACTCAGATATGTCATGCAAAGATACAAGATCCCAATGATGAATGTAACTGTATTGTATATCTAAAGTGTAGCAATAATGTGTGTGTGTGTGTGTGTGTGTGTGTGTGTGTGTGTGTGTGTGTGTATAAAAGAGAATCCAGATGCTCTGAATTGGTACTATTGATTGAGAGCTGGAATGGTATTAAGATACACACGGGAAGAGTCGTAGACGTTTGAGTACAAGTCTGTGACACAGAGGAAGGCCCACACAGGACAATTCCCATCTGCACTTGTTAGCATGTATGCAAAGCAATTCTTTGGAATTTAGTACCAAAATTCTGACAGCTAGCTCCTTTTTCACAAGTCTATCCTAGTATAAGTATACTAGACATTTATATGAATAATGTATATGAACAAGTCTTGGCTAAGATTTTTCTGTTTTCTCTTCATATGCTGTTAGTCTTAATAGTTCATGATTGCTTTCTGAACTTCTTGATGGCTTTTTATAAGTTTATGCAAATTCTTTGAAGTAAGAAGACAGGCAAAAAGGCAAGGAGTGGAAAGAGAAAAGGGGAATCATGATTTTTTTATTGTTTATTGGTACATTTTAGGTATACAATATAGTTACATTCATCGTTGAGATCTTGTACCTTTACATGACTTATCTTGGTTCTTATTTTTTTCCCCATTCCCTAGGCCTCCCTTCACCTCCTCCACCTTTCCCTGTTTACAAGACATTGTTTCCATGTTTTGCCTTTTCTCATATTTTCCCCATTTTTACCTTTCCCCTACCCCTCCCACTTCCTCTACTCTTTTAGAACTTTTTTTTCCTATTACACAATATCAATTATACATTTTGATCCCTATTTACACTTTTAGCTTTTTACATTTGAGAAACTATTCGGCATTTACAGATGTGTCTTATTAATTTCACTTAAGAGCATGGCCTTAATGTGCATCTACTTAGCTATAAATCTCTCTAGTTTCTCATTCTTTATGGTTTAGTAGTACTCCATTTTATTACACACACACACACACACACACACACACACGCATGCACATCTTCTTTATCCAGTCTCCAGTTGATGGGCAATTGGGCTGTTTCCAAGTTTCAGCTATTATAAACTGTGCTGCTATGAACATGGGTGCACCTATATCACTGTGGTATGATTCTTTGAATTCTTTTGGAAAGATACCCAGCAGAAAAATAGCTGGGTCAAATGGGACTTCCAATCCTAGCTCTTTGAGGTATCTCCATATTGATTCCCACAGTGGTTGCACCAGTCTGCACCCCCACCAACAATGGAAAAGCGTCAGGGTAACTAGTATTGCTTATTACCTTTACGTTTTAGCTCTATTTGTGCTATATGAAAAATGCTTTCTGTAATAAATTCTTCAAAATTTGATTTTAGCACCTAGGTGAATTGTTGCTAGTTCTTTTTACTGTCCTCTAGAGCAGTATTATTTTTCCTTAAAATTAAACTCCTACACCTTTATAGTCAGCCCTCCATATCTTTGGGTTCTACATCCATATTTGCAATCAAACATGGATTGAAAATATTTGTGAAAAACATGCAACTCTACTGATCATTATACTTCTCATTATTTCCTAAACTATTCAGCATAACAACTACAAGCATAAAGTTTACATGGTAAATACTCTAGAGATGATTTCACGTATATGGGAGGATGCGCCTAGGATATATGCAAATACTGTTGTATTTTACATAAGACTCTTGAGCATCCTCAGATTTTATATTTGTGAGGAGTCCTAGAACCAGTTCCCACAGAAGCTGAGGGATGATTTGTATCATTTCTAAGAATCTATGTTATATTTACAACTATTTTGACTTTCTCATTACATGTTAAGGCTTCCTCTTGCTTTCCTCCTTAGAATGATCTGAAAGTCCTGTTTACTTCACTGGCTGACAACAAATACATCATTCTGCAGAAGCTGGCAAATGTGTTTGAACATCCTGTAGCAGAACAGATAGAGGTATGTGCAGCTGCTTTTCCCTAGAAGAACAAATACGGAGACACCTGGTTTATCATGAAATTTCAAATAGCGGATGAAAGAGTAATGGCTTACTGTAGGATTTTTGCTTGTTGTATATTTTCATTTTGAATACTGAGTTTGAGGGCCGGGGATTTAGCTCAGTGGTTGCACTGCCTGCCTCACAAGTGCAAGGATCAGTGTTCGATCCCTGGTACAAAAAAAAAAAAAAAAAAAAAAAAAATACTGAGTTTGAATAACATGTTTCTTTGTGAAATTAGGAAATGTAAGCTAGGAAGGGTCACTAACAGATGCTGACCTAAGGACATGGCTCCCCAAGAGTGACACAGGCATGAGCCCAGTGACGGGACTGTGTGCCAAATTGTTTTAGAAAAGTACGAGGGAAGCACTGTGAACGGTCAGAAGAAGGCAGAGTATCTCCAGCATCAGGAAACACTTTAGAGAGGGAACTGATACATCGGAAGTTTGGACACATGGAAACCCAAGAAATACATCAAAGTAAAGAGGACAGTGAGAACAAAGGCATGCATTTTGGAAAATGTGAGCACTTACAGGAAGTACAGGTCATCATCTTTAGCTGAACTTAGTGTGGTTGAAAGTGATTGAGAAATATAATTGGGGTAAGTTTGAAGCACCCTGTGGAGTCTGGTGGTGAATATCAGAGAGCTTGGGCTTCGTTGTATAAACGAGGGATCTCTGTACCTTATTGATTACAAATCCTATTAGCTAAAAATAAATATACCACAAATATATGTGACTTACATATCCATGAATTAGAGCTGTGTTATCTCATAAAACATCTAAAAAAATGAAAACTGAATGTGAATGTGGTTCAACATAAGTGAATTATGTAGTGTTTGGTCCTGGTAAAGCAAAGTTATTGGGGAGGTTTAAGGATGAGAAAGACTGTCAGCTCTCGATCTCTTTTTTTTTGTTTGTTTGTTTTTTTGAGACAGGGTCTCACTATGTAGTTGAGACTGACCTGGAACTCACTATGTAGTCCAGGCTGGTCTCAAACTCACACTGATCCTCCTGCCTCAGCCTCCGGAATGCTGGGATTATAGGCGTGCACCACCACGCCCGGCTTGTCAACTCGGATCTTGCTTCTAGAAGGTTAACACAACTTCAATGTCAAGGAACAGGAGCTCCATGGACTAGCAAGGGTTGTGTGATGGGAAAGCCTGAGAACGTAAATGTAATGGCAGTGAAAACAGGGAGGAGAAAAGAAATGGAGAGAATGGGACATAGGACGTGAGATACATAATTATAAAAATATGTGTTTTAGTGGAATTTCTTTAATTTCAGTGGATACGAAGGGATCTGTGGGTGAATTATACGGAGTCACCAAGTATCATATCTATATCTATATCTATCTATATCTGTATCTATATCTATATCTGTATCTATGAACCAGACAGAAAGCCACCTACAATAGTCTGCACATTTATATGAATATTACATGTGGAATGTGCTTTCTTCTTGACCATAATTTGATCTTTTTCAAGAGATTTCTCATTTCCTCCAGTTAAAAACATTTCTTAATGTTTTGTCCTCCACCTGGAATGTTGGGTTTTTTTGTCCATAAAATACATAGTTCCAAAAGGGATTTGAACAGCTACAGTGATAGCTTGTCTTGGATTTCTAATGTGAAATATAGGGTATTTATGAGATCACATGATCACAATAACCTTTTTACTAATTATTAACCAATACAACTAATTAATGCCATAGAAAAAAACATTATTTCTTTGAATAATTGGAAAGTAACTAATGAGTGTGCTAATTCCCCTTACCCTCCTTGGGTTAAGAACAGTAACAGCAGAGATCATGGCGATGACAGTCCTTGGACAGGACTCCTTTGAGTCATGCTGTTACCATCTACCTAGAACAGACCCGTTTGCATCAGCCCAGTGCACATTTGTCTTCTTGGGACCTTCCTTCACCAGCGTACTGGGAATTCCCTTCACTTTTACATCTCTTGAATCCCAAGTCTTTCTCTTTACTTACTTGCTTCCTTGTTTTGCCAGTGCATGTCCTTCCTAAGGTGTATTTTTTTTTTTTAAATCTTGCATTGAAAATGGTCAATTCCTACGTTTACTCTCTGTGGATCGCTTGGCTCTTTACAGAATTCTTCATTCAACATCAATTGATTTTGGAGTTTGGAGGCCTTTGCTCCATTGTTTTTCGGCTTCCAGCATCTGCTTCAGGATTTTAAAAGTCATTCTAATTCCCAAAGGTCCCCAGTGCCCTAAATTTTCACCATCACATGCCTTTAGAAGGGTCTATTTTTATCCGCTGGGCTGGGAACTTAATAGGCTTTTTCACTTGGCAAGGCTCATCTTTCCATTCTGGAACGTTTTCTAATGATTTACTAATACTTCCACTTCTCTATTTTTTCTATATCCCATCTGAAACACCTTTCAATCACATATTGGGTATTTAATCTGCTAATTTTTTTAATGAAGAGATCTTTCTCTATCTTTTTGCTTTACTGTCTGGGAAACTTCCTCGATTTTAACTCCAAACTCTTTGACTGAGTTTTGCATTTCTGTTCTCCTATGATTAATTTTCTCAAGCTCAGTTTGGTTCTCTCAATGATCTGTTAAAATGGTATCCTGTTCTTTTTTCAGTGGCTGCATTATCTTTTGTAATCTGAATGTGTTAATGATTTTTGGGGGGGTTGAAATTTATTTTTTCCTGCACAAGTTTTCGCTCCAAATTGCTTTTATTTATTCGCTTCTATTGGTCTCTCTCTTTTATACTGGAAGCTTTTCTTAAGTATATTGACATTACATTGTCTATTTACCTTGAGGGTGGAGGACTAGTCAGCTGAATAGGAACTTTAAGGATGCAACCTGCCAATTTCAAGAGGCTGAAAGGTGGTATGTGAGAGCCATTCGTTGAAAACTATTCATGCCTGCAATATTCCATCACTTTAGTCCCATTTTCAATCAAGCATTTAAACTTACGACTGTGTTTGCGCTCCCTCAGTCTGGGGGCTCTGTTTTACCTTCTCCAGAAAATAAACTTTCAGTTTTTCACAGGGAAAGAAAGGCATAGTGCGGAAAAAAGAATGGGATGGGACCTAGGTAAAACTTAACTGCCCTTTAGCAGCTTTTCCCCACTTGCCTTCCCTACCTCCTATCACCCCTTTACTCTGGCTTGCCAAGGCTTCTGTGGCTCTAAATTTGGTGGTGCACATCCTCTGCAGGACTAGCATTTGGCTCTCTCAGATTTCATAAGTCCATTTCTATGTAGTCTGAATTCGCCTTCCAGAATTTTGTTGGTATTTTCTTCTCTCATGTTGCTTGTCCTTGTAGATTTATGGAAGGAATAATACTCCCAACACATTGCAAGCAAAGTGTTTGCTGTGGTAACAGAGAGGGTTCAGGAAAGAAAAAAATTGGATGTTCTTTTAATCCTTCAAGGGCAATAGTGATTTCATTTCATTCAAAATCCACCTTACACTAGGATTTGCTGGTCTGGTTCCTCCTTTATCCAGACTTCTCATGGCATGAACTGTGTCATGAAATTTGACACCTAATTGTATTCAGCCTTGCTTTATTTTCCTTTGGTTTCCTGACCAGACTGTGAGCTCCTTGACGTCCAGGATGAGATCTAATTCTGTTTCTGCAGACCTCACACTGGGAAGACAAGGCTCAGCAATGTTAATCAGTTGATTGATTGATTTTCCCCTTCACAAAGAGAGCAAGAATTCCCTGACCATGCTGCTGTGGGTGTTTCTGTTGCCCCTGTGAAGCTCTCTCCAAGGACTGATTTCAAGAAACCAGGCTCAGTCCTGTAGGGAATCTCGGGCAAATAGACTTCCCTAAATATGTCCTGCATCTTCCTTCTTTTTTTTTTTTATGTGTGCCTATTACAACTCTCATTTATTTAAGGAAGGCATCCTTTTCTTCTCACCTTAAATCTCTCCTACGGTCTTATCTCTAAGATCTGTAGTATAACTAACGAAGGCCTCCTTTTCTCTTCTGCATAATATTTGACTGTGCTTTTATGCTTTGTTCAAGTTCCTTTTGTATGTGAAAGAAGAAGAACAAACAAAAGCACATACAGTAATCACATTCACTGAAGAAAGATTATTTCTGTGAGTTTTAATGAAATGTCGCAAATCTTACCTAGGCAATACAGCAGGCTGAGGAGGGACTAAAGGAACTGGATGCTGGGATCGCAGAATTAAAAAGACGTGGTGACAAGTTGCAGATTGAGCAGCCTTCCTTGCAAGAGCTCTCCAAGCTCCAGGTACAATTTTCAACCAATACCATTCAGCTTCCAGGGGTCCTCTTAGCTCAAAGTCAAGAAAAAATTATTTCTTGTATTTCCTTGGCTTTCTTTGTAAAAGTCATGTCATATTCTTAGCTTTTCTTCCAAGTAACTCTTAGAAAACATTCTCAAGCTATTACCATATATAGTATAATAAAGTAAAATACATTCTCAGGCTTCCAAGGTTCATATTTTTTCTGAAATTAATTATTATTATGATGGCAAACCATTGTGATATATTTTAGTGGTAGCATATTATTTTCTCTAGAAATTGTAATTATTATCACTCCTACCAAGAAAAGTCAAGAGACTAATATCTATTTTGAATTACAGTTTCTCTTCAGAAACCATTTAAAAGAACAACTATTTAGTGTTGTACTTTTTAAAAAGCAGTTTTTTTCAGCTTTAATTGAGTTTATTGGTACATTTTAGGGTTACAGTATAGTTACATTCATTGTTGGGATCTTGTACCTCTACATGACAAGTCTTGGTTCTCATTTTTTCCCCTTGTCCCTGCCTTCCCTTCTCCCCCTCCTCCCCTCCCCATCTGCAAACACTTTATTTCCATCTTTTCATTATCTCACATTTTTTTCTTTTCCCTTGTTACCCTTGCCCTACCCATCCCACCTTCCCTACACCTTCAGCCCCTTTCTTCCCATTTCACAATGTCAGTAATCTTATTAGGATCTTATGTATTATTGTAGTTTATTCACACCAGAGAAACTATTAAAAAGCCGTTTTAAGATATTAAAAAACAATAGTTTTTTCCCCTATATGTTTGAATGGGATGGAGACACTGTTTCAATTCTAGAAATTCAATCAAATCTGTAAGCTAGAAAGTGTCAGAAGTCTAAACAGACTTCCTGGCATTGGTCAGGAATAGAAAATGACATTTGTGTTAATTTACTTTCCTAAATCAGACATCTAGATTAGAATCTGATTTCAAGGTCAGAAGAAGATGCTGACATAGTAGACCAATGAAATTTAACATCTGATAGGCAACATAGTTCTACTAAGAAAGAACTGAGTACACACACACACACACACACACACACACACACACACACTGGATTTTTTTTTCCTGCATGCTTCATTGGAGAACAACTGAGGTTAGTAGAATGAACACAGGGTCACAAGTTCCTAATGACACAACTCTTATAAACAAAAGAGCATTTTCATTTTAACTCTCTCTATGACATTTCACAATGGTGTAAGCCTATAACCCCTATTTTGCACTTTTTTACATTGTCAAACAGCATATTAGCGTCAGGTGTAAGAGTCAAGTGTAATAGCTGTAAATAGACACTAAAGTTGAGCTTTTCCAGATTATACCACTTTGGCCTGCTCAACCTTAATATGATACATTAATCTGGTCCATGTGCCATCAATAAATTGTGTTCTTATATCATCATCTCTTAAATATCTTTCCAGATTAAGTAGTTATTTACTCTACCACATCTGGCAAACACATGGCCTTTTTCAAGTCTTAAGTATTTTTTTCTCACATCGGACTCCTCTGTTTCACTAGCGCTTTGAGCAGTAGTCCAAAATCTAGGGATTTAGCTCAGCGGTTTGGTGGCCTGCCTTGCAAGCGCAAGGACCTGAGTTCAATCCCCAATACCAAAAAAAAACAAAAAAACAAAATCTGATATTTTTAGCAGACACAAATATTAAGCATACTATATTCAACTACTCTAACATTAAAGAAATACTTGAACATTAGCAAAATTTAAAGTACATTTTCTGTGATAGCTCACTCAGTGACATGGACTTTGTTTTCACAATTTTAACCTCACATCTTACCATAGACTACTGGAGACTGGAAAGTATCTTCTCAACTATAGTAGCAGACCTCCTTTATAGGCTATTTCTAGGGAATGCTTTTTCATATCTTTTGGAATCTTAAAATATTAAGCTTATTTTTATAGACATAGTTTTTCTTTAGGTTCTTAATTTTTCTTTTTCCTTTATTTATGTTTTTATTTTTGACTCAACCTAAATTATATTTTAGATCTGGAATGAGATAAGACTCTAATTTTACTTTTTCCCAAATAGTTCACTTGTCTCCACATGATTTGTTTAATATTTTATTTTTTGCTCCAATGACTCCATCCTTAAATCCTTATATGCAGTAGTACCTGGGTTCATGAATGCTTTTGTCTGTTAACAATTTGGCTTGCAAACAAAAGAGTTTGGCACAATTTTTTTGTTTGTTTGCAACTCTACATCATGTGATGAACACAACTGCAGCCACCCTTCCGACGCAAACACAAATGTGGCCATCTTTTGCAGAATTGTGAAACAAATTAAATTCATGAATGGAGGTACCATTGTAGTTCTTTCTCTTCAGTGTCTCTTTTGTGCTTTATCATTTGTCAAAAACAAAATGAAATTCAAAACAAAAATGAACAGTTAAGAATACAGAATAAGATTAATGAGAGAGCCTGAACTACCTGATATCAAACCACTGTGAAGCCACAGCCCTATAGATGATAGGTTGTAGGCATGGAAATAGAGGCACGGAGCTTATCTTTCTTGAAGGAACTTTTCAGAGTGAAGGTTCTAAGAAAGACAAGCAAGGATCTGCATGGAGAGAATCCCTGTTGGCCATGCTACAAGGAGCGTTCTTGGTTGGGATGGGCCTGGCAACTGATACACTCTTGGAGAGGAGCCAGACTGAACTGAGGGTGAGTGTAGCATCTCTGTTTCTCTGTAGGACATGTATGATGAACTGATGATGACCATCGGCTCACGAAGGAGTGGTCTGAATCAAAACATTGTACTCAAGAGTCAGTACGAAAGGGCTCTGCAAGATCTTGTGGACTTGCTAGACACTGGACGAGAGAAGATGGAAGGAGATCAGAAAATCATCGTGTCTTCCAAGGAGGAAATTCAACAATTACTTGACAAACATAAGGTAAAAAAAAAGAGAAAGGAGGTGTAGTCGTGAAAGTTATTCTCAAGCCTTGATACCTATAATTTTTGTTTGAGTTCCTATATTTATAAGTTACTCTTTCAAATGACCAATAAGTGTATAACCAATGGTATTAGAAGGCATGGAGAAATTAGAGAATACATATTCTTATAATTCTGTAAATTAAAAAAACAAACTATCCTTTTCAGGAATTTTATCAGTTTGTTGTATAGACCAGGTTCTCTTGTTACATAATCTGCAATCAAGGAAAAACTGAAAGACTTTCTTCAGGAGCCCAACTTCCTTCTTAACTGCTTTTTCTTAGATGTCCTTTATGGCCATTTGTCTGTTTAGGCCTAGGTGCCCTCTTTTCCTCCCTGTAACCTGGAGGGGAAGCAGTCACTCTGCTCAGGAAAGCCGAACTGCCTGCTGGGATCCAGGATGTGGTTTACATTTGCCGCATGCGTCATTTGGTTCTTCTGGCCCTTAAGCACATGCTCCTCCCATTGCTGTAAGCCACAGAGGCTTTCCTCAGGACACTGTGTCCTTTTACTACGTCATCAAATTTGGGTAGGCATGAAATCACTCTGTCAGTGTGTGCTGAAGCCAAGCTCAGGTTGGATACCGCTTTTTAACAAAGACGTATGCAGACAACACGTGCACACACACACACACACACACACACACACACACACACCACTCAGGCTATAGGAATTCCCTGTTGGAAAACAAACAAAACCCCCATTTGATTATAGAGAGGCAATAAATTCTACCATTATGTAGCTGTCTGGTAGCTAATAATGATGGATTTGGAGGAGGGATTTTTCCTTCTTGCTATTTTTTTCCAGAGATTTTTGTCCAAAATATTATGATTTATTAATGTCTTATCATTTGACTTAGTAAACATTGCTTTAAGCTCACAGCTGGTTTTTCTCAAATCTGACCAGAGCAAGAAAAGACCATTCTGAGTTATTCTAGAAGGAAAGCTAGGACCAGTGTGTAACAATAAGAGAGAAATAAAGCTCAGCAGAAGAGCTGTAGAAGGGGGAAGCTGCTGTGGAACCCAAGGCCCTCTGGCCATAGGTGGTGCCTCAGGGATGGGGTGGGGGACGTTTGTGAAAAGAAGCTCTGCTCTCATTGGTTGCACATTGTCCAAGATGACCTCTGAGCTCTCTTCTGACTTTAAGATATTCTGATAAAAGGATTATGTGTTAAAGATAATACATGGAGCTTATACTGAGGTATTGTTGGGGAGCACAGATACAGGTTATCGAACAGATTCATATCCCAACTCTGCCATGCTGAGATACGTGTGCAACTTGGGCAAGCTGCACAGACTGTGTGCTCTCATTCAGAAAATGAGAGGCAAAACTACCCATCTCGTGGAGTTACAGAGGTGGTAGAAGGATGACGAGTCAGATAAGGAGTCTCTGGGGTGCCCAGCTGAGAGTACAAACTCAGTTAATGTTAGCCATTGTTCATGGTGCTGGGCATAGACCATGGGATAGGACCTATCTCATCCCCCAGGATCTACTGCATGTAAAATGTGATATTTCAAAAATATGTATAGGGTCGTGCAGGGCCTACAGTTCTGTTGCACTGAGGTGAAATTTGAGGAAAATTAAAAATATTTAATACCAAGTTGGGCTATTAATACCAACTAGGCTATTCTTGACACGAATAAAAATAATCATGAAACTTCAGAAGTTTAGAAAGTAGGGCTCGAACCCAGCTGTGGAGGAAGGAAAGTCATTGGATGTGTCACTTGCAAACATCTTGAGAAGAGGAGTAAAACAGGGGCTGGAGAGTGGGATGGGGGTCAAAGAGACCAAATCAGGGAAGGAATGAAGGCCACAGTGCAAGGGACATATATTAGGGGCAAGGAGGAGGTTTTTAAACAGCTGGTCACATAGGAAGAGCTTTGTTCTGACGACGTCTTGTCTGTGGCACAGTGGTGTTTGTGGGGTAAGTAGGAAGACAGAGGCCAGTTCAAGGCCCAGAGCACCGGTCTGCGCAGGAAGTGTCTCAGGCAGTGAGGTGCCCACGCAAGACAGATGAGTGGGAGTCGAATGATACCACTCGTATCACTGAGTTCCAACAGCTTTTGCCTTTGAAGCAATTTTTATCTTGAAGAATTTATGAATGAGTTGTGACCTCTTTCTACTTGCAAAATTTCAGGAATACTTTCAAGGCCTGGAATCGCATATGATCTTGACAGAAACGCTCTTCAGAAAAATCATCAGCTTTGCAGTTCCCAAAGAAACCCAGCGCCACGCAGACCTGATGGTTCAGGCATCTGCTGTGCTGAAGCGGGCACACAAGAAAGGTGTGGAGCTGGAGTACATCCTAGAGGTGAGGCTGCAGTGCAGCATCCTCCCCTGCAAAGTGAACCCTCAGGAGGGAAGTATTTAATCACACACTCTACCTCCCGTGGCCTTGGAGCTAGCTGTGCTCCCCGGCTCGGGACTGTGCTCTCCCTGCAGTTATGTGTTCGCTTGTTCTCCTCATGACTTTCCATTTCCATTGGGGGTGCTGTATTGCTAGTCAGCTAGGATACCGACTTCAGACTGTGCACAAAGAGATGTAGGGGTTTGATATTCAAGCTGAAAGAGGCCTAGAGCATGAAAAATGTAAAAATATATCCCTGGCTCCATCCCCAATGCAAGTGCTCTTATGATAAGATCTGTCACTAGTATCCAGGAGCCAGAGGACGGATACTTGGGTCCAAGTCTTTGTGCTCTGAAAACAGAAAATGAAGGATTTGTTTTTTTATAAGACAAAGAACATTAGATGAAACTTAGAGAATCTGGGTTCAGATCATAGAAGTCACTTGGAGCGTTCACCTTGCTTAAGGGTCTGAGTTTGTTATCCTGCCTGTCACACACACATGCTCTGAGATTTTGTTCTCACATTCAATTAGGAAAAAGTTTGTAAGCCTCTGCTTTAGAGTCAGCCAGACTTAGCTTTACCACAAGCATTTGACTTTGAACGCCAAATGGGTGGTGTGTAGAGGCCAGGTGAGCAGCCACAGAGCCCTGTGTGAATGTGAGATGTCACTGATATTAAGAGTCTACTTCTTTTTTCCTGCAATAACTAAATCAGTTAACCTGCACCATTCTAGCTTTTTCATTCCTCCTCTACCCCATAAAAGTTCTAGGGATTATATTTCTCTCTCCTTTCTTGTCTTCTCTGTCTACTCCTCCAACATTACTGCCCACAATTGGATTACCTATAGCTCATATGAACATTGTTCTCCATCTTGTCTTCCTCCGTGAGCCAACCTTATCATAGGTAGCTAACTCCAAAAGTTCCAGGCATGGAATTCCCCCATGCACTCTATAACTAGAGAGAAATTTTAACATTTCAAATCCTTTTAGGAATAATTGCTGCTTAGTGATACGTCAGTCTCCCAGCCAGGCATTTTACTTTTACATGAATCACCCACGGTGAAACACAATGAATCTCTCTCTCCTAGGAATTAATCTGGAAGCAGTATCTTGCCATAGCACATGATTAATGAGTGGCAGAGTCAGCACTGATACCACGCCTGTCTGGCTTCACTGCCTGAAATGTGCACTTCTCAATGCCACCTTCCTGACCACATTATTTAAATTGCAACTTCATCAAGCATACACTGGGAACTCCCTCATTCTCTGCTCAGCTCAGTTTAATTCCCCCATAGCCCAAGAACTCTTTATAAGTCATGAAATTTATTCTTTGCATTCTGATTTATAGTTTATTGTGTACTGTCTGTCTCCCCTCACTAGATTACATAGATTTTTTCCATCCTTTCTGTTTTATTCACTGCTACATCCCTAGGCCTCAGACAGGGCATAGCAATAGGCATGTAGGCTGGAAAAAACATGGATCATTACTGTTATATCCTGTTGCCACCCCTGCTGTAGGTTCAAATGAATATACATGTGAAAACCTGCTGATCTTTTCTAAGTAGTGATTGGGAAATATTTAAACTGATTTTTAAAGTATTTTCCAGTTTCAAACAAAAGTCTGAATTTAGGAATAATTGATGTGGAATTTTTCTTTAGCAGGAAAGGATACATTTTCTACTAAAGAAATGAAGTTCAGAAACTTAGCCATAGTCATACAGCTAGTAGATTGCAGTACTAATACCCACTCGCAATGCTTTTCCATCTGAATACTTGCTTTAAAGCCATTTTTCCTTCCCAGAGCAGACCCCAGCCTAAACATTACACGAATAAGATGGTCAAGAGCATATTTTGTGCACAAGCAGTGGTGTTCTTCCCTAAGGAGGGTTCTTTTGTTCACAAACTGATGTTGTCTTTCCAGACTTGGTCCCGTTTGGATGAGGACCGTCAGGAGCTCAGCAGACAGCTGGAGGTGGTGGAGAGCAGCATCCCGAGTGTGGGCCTGGTGGAGGAGAGTGAAGACAGGCTCAGGGAGCGGGCCAGCCTCTACCAGGTCAGGGTCCCCGGGTGTCTTAGTGTTAGGAGTGGCCATGTTTCTGTTAAAAGCTTTTTAGTAGCATTAATAGAATCTAAATAAATTTGTAATCAAATGTTGTATTAAATACTTTTACATTTCTGCATAGTAAGGTTATTGTTGCAAGCAAATAGATTGTGCTTACTAGAGCAGCATATTTTTGAAAACGTCTTTCTTGGGCTGGGAGTGTAGCTCGGTGGTAGAGCATTTGCCTAGTATGCATGAGGCCCTGGATTTGATCTCCAGCACTGCACAAAAATTATTTTTTAAATTAGAGCTCTTTCAAAAAGCTTTCCAATTATTTTCATTAAGCCTCCATATAAAGCATTTTCTGTAGTTTATGCTGGTTTATTGCACTACTCTTGAAATAATTAAGTTTAGCTATTTTAACTGCATCTAAAAATGCTACCAACAAAAATGAAAAGGAGAATGTCTGTACTCTGATTGAGATGATCTACAATGAACTATTTTTCAAGTCTTCAATGTTGTTGGGTGTAAATAGTTTGTTTGAATAAAGGATAATGGGAACATTGTGAGCACCAGAGAAATTATAATTCTCAAAGACAAAGTATACAGTATTCAAACTTTTAACCCACATTGTCATCATTTTAGCATTTAAAATCCAGCCTCAATGAATACCAGCCCAAATTATACCAAGTATTAGATGATGGAAAACGATTTTTGATATCTATCAGCTGCTCAGAGCTAGAAAGCCAGCTAAATCAACTTGGAGAACGCTGGCTAAGTAATACCAATAAAGTGTCTAAGGAACTTCACAGATTGGAAACAATACTGAAACACTGGACCAGGTAATAGGATGCCTATTTTGCATATTTTTAATAATTTCTGTAGTGTGTTGAGACTACTGGGTGCTAGACTTGGAAAAGATATTTAAGTTTGGACAGTTGCATAATTTAGAAAATAAAGACACACAGAAAGTCTCCAGTTGTATACTTACATTTTCATGTAAACATATATTAAAAGCTAGGCAAGAAAAGAGGTGAGGACTGAAGGGTACCTTTGTTTGAGCTGTCATCCTTCTTTGCCTAATGACTGTATCTAAGCAGTCCCAGTAAAATATTAGAAGTAGAGAAAGAAGAGAAAATGTTGATTAAGGGGAACTTCTCAAAGATAATGGGAAGTCTGAAGGGAGGGGGATGGTTTATTTTATAGGATGATATGCTCTTATTTCAAAGAACTTTTAGGAAGAGAAAAGTTTTTATTTTTTGTTTTTGTTTGTTTTCACGTTATAAATAGAAAAGCTGAAACGGAGAGACAGACTTGGTGAAGGTGTAAATATTAAGAGACAAGAATTTCAGAGGGTCAAACTAGTGCAGTTTTCTTCTGAATCTATCAGGGCTCTTGTTGTGAAACTCTAGGCATTGGTGAATAATAATAATAATTAGTGAGCAGAAGACAGAGATTGGATGTTTACTTAACTGATTCACTAATACGCTTACAGATATCAAAGTGAATCTGCAGATTTAATTCACTGGTTACAGTCTGCAAAAGACAGGCTACTATTTTGGACTCAGCAATCTGTGACAGTCCCACAAGAACTGGAAATGGTCCGTGATCATCTAAGTGCTTTCTTGGTAAGTCTGAGAATCTGAGACATTTGATTCAATTCTGTATTTTTATGCAGTAGGTAAGGCCTAACCCATACACCAGCAAAAAAGAAATCACTGAGACAGATACTGAATTTCTTATACACATGGATTGGGCTCACCTCTGCTTATGCCCAACCTTGTCTCTTTCTAGTTCTTTTCAGGTAATGGTTGGCCTTCATTTGAGGGCAACAGTGTGCTGATTTCACTCTCCTCTATCGAGCCCAACCTAGCCCTCCCCTGAAGATGTAGAGGAAACTTGTCCTATTCTCTAAATCTATCTCTGCACTCAAATGAAAAGTCTGGCTACATAATCCTAAATTGAACAGTGCCATTTCTTTTAGGAGTTTTCTAAAGAAGTGGATGCCAAATCTTCCCTGAAATCATCCGTTCTGAGCACTGGAAATCAGCTTCTTCGATTGAAGAAGGTAGACACAGCTGCTCTGCGCTCTGAGTTATCCCACATTGACAGCCAGTGGATGGACCTCCTGACAAATATTCCAGCTGTTCAGGAAAAGCTCCACCAGGTATGGAAGGGAGGACTTCTTTATTTGATAACAACTGCTTTAAGCCATATTAAATGGAAAACTATCTTAATCTGCCTTCGCTCATCAATTTAAATCAGCTCTGTCTCAGAAATTTGCCTTCTCCTTTTCACATTGTACTGTAGAGTAAAAATGAACTATTCTACAGATCCCTAGTCAGACAGCACTACTTCCAAAAGCTTCTCTAATATGCGTATGTGTGTTTGTGTGTATGCATTCAAATCTTTGGCTTTGTTTAAACTGTTTCCTAATGGGTATAATGTGGGCAGTTATATAAAGTCAGTAGCTATGAAGAATTATGGCATATTATGGTAAGAGGTATATTGTTTCACGTAGAAGAGAGCCACTGGAATTCAGTAGGTGCAGGTACAGTCATGCATCATTTAGTAACAGGGATCCATTCTAAGAAATATGTCCTTGGGCCATTTCAGTCATTGTGCAAACATCATAGAGTATATTTACGTGAACTAAGATGTCTTTAATGTCACTGGGCGATGTACCATATGGGACAACCATTGTATACGTCATTAACTGAAACATCATCATTTGATGCTTGACTGTACTCTTCTTATCTGAAATAAGCCTCACTTCCCCGAAATCCCAGATCACTTTATCATTTTTCTCTGTCATCCCAGTTTGTCATGTATGATAACTGTGTTTAGTGTCCACACTCTCTTAATCGGCAGCTATATGTTCCTAAAGGAACAAAATCCTATGTTCATCTCTGTCTTTCAGCACCACATTAGGAGTTGATTTATAAATATTTTAAATGGCTGCCTTCATTTTTACAAATCATTATGATAAATTTGCTCATAAATGTATGCTATAGTAAATAAAATTCAGAAGTCAGTATATTTCAATTAAGACTCAAGAAATTGGCTGTTCTCTTAGGAATAAATAGTAGAGTGCCAAAAAATTTAGAAAATGATAGCTTGTACTGTGGTATTTTTCTTCTTCCTTTTAACATTCCTGAGTCGTAATACACAGAGATTTTTACAGGATAATTAATGAAATACATCTGTTGAATGTTTTGTAGTTAGGTTTTTTTTAAAACTCATAAAACTAGCTATAAAATAAGAATAATATTTTCTTCTTGCTGGTGTTTTGATTAATTAGTTAATATTTGTACAGTGTTTACTGTGCTAGATGTCAAGTGAACATAAAATGACTAGTATTGTTCAGTGTTTGCCTGGTGTTTCAAGCTTCAAAGCTCTAAAAAAAGCCCTTAAGAAATAATATTTCTGTTGGTACTTTAGTATGAATTACTGTGGTGTTCTTATGTTAGCAGAAATTGGGTTTCAATTTAATACTTTGGATTTGTTCTGTCTCCAACTTGGCCAGCTCCAAATGGATAAGCTGCCTTCCCGCCATGCCATTTCTGAAGTCATGAGTTGGATCTCTTTAATGGAAAGTGTCATACAGAAGGATGAAGAGGATATAAAAAATGCCATAGGTTACAAAGCAATCCATGAGTACCTTCAGAAATACAAGGTGATTAACACTTGTTTTAAAATTTTCATGTACTTTAAGTATTTTATTTGAAAGAACTCAAAACCTAAATTCTGGAAATCAGGTCTTGGGATATACATTCCATTCATGATGACCAGATAGGAATTCAAAAGCAGAAAAATTGCATCCCTAAGTATAGCCCCAGAAAGCCTGTCCGGTATTGGGAATAATTTTGTTATTTGAGAAATATAGAGATGATAAAAAGAAATATTATAATTTATAAATATTATGTAATTTTACCAGTGTTGCATCTTCTGCCTAATGTGTGTTTATAGAAGGTATACATATATAAATTCAACTTCTGAAAACAATAGGCCATGGGCCTAAACACAAGTGATGCCATTTGGACAAAGTCATAGAAACGATAGCACTAATATTAAGGTATGCTAAGGTTTTCCAACTCCTGGTAAAATAACGTATTTCTTCTACATGTCACCTTGTTTTATTTTTGTCCCTTCTCTTTCCTTAGGGTTTTAAGATAGACATTAACTGTAAACAGCTGACGGTGGATTTTGTGAACCAGTCTGTGCTACAAATCAGCAGTCAGGATGTGGAAAGTAAACGGAGTGATAAGACTGATTTTGCTGAGCAGCTCGGGGCGATGAATAAAAGTTGGCAAATCCTGCAAGGTCTAGTAACCGAGAAGGTGAGCCAGGTGTTCTGCTACTGCCCGTCTTTACCAGAAACCCCGAAAATGGGCACATTCTGCCAGGGGGACTCATTTCATTTGTAGCATGGCTATGTGGGGCAAAAGAATGCTGCCAGCTTGGCTCTAAACTTTCTTTAGTCCTGTTACTTTCTCTTTGTGTATTTCATGTTGTTTTTAAAGTTTTTAAAGATATGTATTAATTTCTCTTCCCTTTGTTTCAAACTGACTTTAATTTTTTTCTTGTTTACTAGTAATAGCCATTAATTCACACTTGATAAAATTAATTTCTCAAACTATGTACGATGGACTGCATTTTAAGAATTCTTCATTTGGGAGATAATAGTGGCTGGACTGATTAACCTGCCACCGATTTTCTTTTAAAATAAAATTGCAAACTTCATTTCATTGTTCAGATCCAGATGTTGGAAGGCTTATTGGAATCTTGGTCAGAACATGAAAATAATGTACAATGTCTGAAAACTTGGTTTGAAACCCAGGAAAAGAGATTGAAACAACAGCATCGAATTGGAGATCAGGTTTCTGTTCAGAACGCACTGAAAGACTGTCAGGTAACTTGTCCAGGGGCTCACACGTGTGTACATTTCACACTTTCATGTATAAGCTGAAAAAGTTGGTAGGCTCTGGGATCTGTGAGCTAAGTAATTTTTAAAAGTTGTGTTTGGTAACAAATTTCTCTGACTACATGGCTGATGGAGGTTTTTCCTCAACTGTTTTTTTTTCAGCTGCTTTTATTTATTTATTTGCATGTTTATTTGTTTATTTATTTATTTATTTGAGACAAGGTCTTGTTATATAGTTCAAACTGGCCTTGAACACAGCATATACTTAGGCTGGCCTCAAACTTTCTGTGATCTTCCTGCCCCAGCCTCCCAAGTGCTGGGATTACAGGCATGCACTACCATACCCAGCTCAGCTGCTTTTAAAATTTTGAAATTATGCAAATTTTCAACCATATTCATAAGTGGAGAGAAATGCAGTAAATCCCATCTCCTGATCACTAGAATTAGAACTACATGATTTAGATACATTTGCCTGAATTCTCTTTTTTCTTAAAGATTAGATCATACATCCCAGAGATCATATCATTTTATTCCTAGGCACTGTAATACAAATCTTTGAAACAGATCTTTTTATGTAACCACATTACCACAAAAAATTAAGAATGATTTCTTAGTATTATTTCACGTTCAAGCCATATTCACATTTTTTGAATTGTTTTAATTTTTTTTCATTCAAAATAAGAATACACTGTCTGTGTACTGTATTTACGTGTTAGCGGTTTTAAATTTCTGTAATAATTTTCTGATACTAACTTGCAGAAATTAGAATGGTCTCATGTACAACATTAGCCTGATCAAGGACCTTCTCTACCGTGTCACTTCACTGCTTCTCTGCTCTGTACTTCCTGTGAGGGGGATAGGTCTGGAGCCGTGATTGGATTCCAGATCCACTGTGCTTGAATACTTCTGGGTGGCAGTGTTCCTTTGGGTTCTGTCCGTGGAGAAGCTCCGGCAGTCTAACTGTGCCCCTGTTAATGCTGAGGATTGAGGGTTCAGGTGGAGCAATTACATTCTGAATGTTTTGCAGTGACTAAGCAACACAGAATTTCCTCAGATGACCTTACATATACAAAAGAAACGTGAGCTCTTCCTGTTAATGATGTAATAAAAATTACTGTGAAATAATGCACTACTTTTCACCATGTTGCAGATTAGCTATGACTGTTCTTATATATTGTTTCCTACAAAAGCTCCTTTCCCCCAATCTTGTATATCTATTTTAGATTTCTGAAAGAAAGGAGTTGGGTGAAAAAAATCTCCTCTCCAAAATCTCCTCTATTCGACACACACAAAAAAAATCTCCTCTATTTGAGACAGATATACTGAAATGAGAGAGCTTATATCTAAGCACTCAGAGACTTAGGGTTTGGGAGAGGATGATCACATGCTCTGAAGGCTAGGCTCACCTGCTAATTAATGGCTTGCAGTTAAGAAGTTGCATTAAAATGACATAGAAAAACATTCAATGGAGAAATGCTTTTAAATCATCCCGCTCCCCACTTTTTTCTGAGACAAGGTCTCACTGTGTAGTTCAGGCTGGCTTTGAACTCATATGTGTTCCAGTCTGGCTTCAAACTCACAACAGTCCTCCTGCTTCAGCCTCCAAAGTGCTAAGATTACAGGCTTGTGTCACCATTCCCAGCAATAACCATTTTTAAAATGCTTCGCATCAGAAGATGGGTACATCAGAGCCTAAAGACCAAAAATGTATGTCAGCTGGTCTCACTGCATTTCCAATTTTCCGATTACCAGTAGTACTTCTGCTTTAGTCCATAAACCCTAAGGTTTACACATAAGCCAGAATTTCAAAATTTTATTCTTAAGGATGAAAAGTCATATCTTCTGTTGAGTTCCCAGTTAAAAGATTTCTGCTCATTTCAGAGAGCAGATCTCAGTGTTAACATTAGCAGGTTAGTGCCTCACGGCTGCCTTATCAGGATGACTTCACTATTGGGAGGCTGAAATACTACAGTCATATAACTTCTCTTTTTTTTCTTCTTTTCTCCCTCCTTTTCTTTTTCTCTTTCTTACTATTTTTTTTCCTTTTCTTTAATGCTGTTTTTTTCCCTCCTATTTTCCATTTTGTTTTGTTTCCTATGTATGTCTTCTATGTAATAGATGCACACTACTATCTGGAAAATATTACAGAAGTTTGGCCAAATTATACTACTCCCAGGACCTCAGTTTTCATCTCCCAGAGGGTCGGTTCAGGCACTGTTCAGAAAGAAAGCCTGTATTGTGGTTTAATGAAGTCTATATTAATACCATTTTATGATTTCAAATGAGAAGTTACTTCTTTGAAACAAAATCATGGAAAGAAAGTTACCCACACTGTTATTTTGAAACATCACACATAAATTACGGTGGCCTAACTGGCAGGTTCTTCTTGGCATTAACACAAGCCTTGATAAAATTTATTGTCATTTTTGAGAAATTGTTCCTTTGGACCAAAGTGTAAAATTCAAGCCAGCATACTTAAATCAGTGACTGGATTCAGGCTGAATTTTGTTTAAAAAATATTGAATATTTTTCCAGTCTTTTAGAGGTGATTTATTAATTTAAAGCAACATGAAAACTGATATTTATGAGTTAATCCAAGTTGAGAATAATTTATTATAAGAAAAATGTTAGGTTTGGCCTTTCAATTATTGATCAGAAACAGTATAATCTTTTAATTATTATTGAAAAGCAAGGAAAACACACCTTTATTTTGCAAAAAAGTTTCCTTCTTAGATTTTGTTCTTATGCCAACATACATGTGCAGGGTATCTTTTGAGTCATATTTCTAACCCGTTAATATTTCTCACTGAAAATAATTAACACCTATAGATAAATGAGAATAAAATTAATTTATAATAGGTGAATCTTAGAATCATATCGACAGAATTATTTATAACTATTTATTATATATAATAATATATTATATATTAAATATAAATTAGGAACATGATGTATGGCTATTTGTCTTTATAGTAATGAAGAGAAAAGCTGTAAAAAGTTAGTTATATTTTCTATAGTAAATGAAGGACCTGCAATCCGAGTAATCATTAGATTCCTTCTCTAGTAATTATCAAGGCAATTATAATATTGACCAAATTATGAAGTAGAAATGAGAGAATGAAATGGAAAACAAAAATTTCTTCAAGCATTAATTTCTAAGTAATTGTATCAAGACAAAATAGCTTAGTGGTAATTCAGGAGAAAAATAAATAAA